TTAATTTCTCCGCCAGGACGAGTGCCAATCAGGTTTGCTTCTCCACGATTTATCTCAAGTAAATATTTGGCGTAGTCAAGTCTGGTTTAGTGTGGTGTGGTGATGCCACCTTATTATAAGGTGGCATCTCATCTGCAACCGGTGTTGCAAATGTCCGTGGGCGGCGGTTATCACTTAACATCAGGTGAACCGCCAGCTCGTTTGCCACTTTTTCACTTTATGAAAGATTTGTTTCTTTCGACATTTCAGACTCAAGACATAATAATGTCGAAAGTGGATCGGAGGCGCAAAGGAGTATTTGGGCCCTCAATGGGCAAAAAGGTAAGGCGTGCTTATTTTTGTTTTTTTTTTCAAACAATTGTAAAAATTAGACTATGTGTAAAAACGTAAACATATTTAATACACATTACTTGTGTGAACCTATAACGTACCGAGAGAGTTTAGTAAATTCAGAATGGTTCTTTATTGAAGGAAAATCCAATTTCAAACCCTGTCTCCTGGAGGGATGGCTTCTACCATCAGTGCGTTGGGAGTCACCCATGGTTCTTCGTAATAGGCAATTGCCGCTCTGGAATCTGTATAATTCACCCTGATGGCTGCAGATGTCCTGTCTCCCTTCCCACGTTATTTGTTATTTGATAAGTTCTTAGGCTACCTTCTAAACATTGGGCCCCGGCTACCTCACCCACCAGAGGAAACGCGAAAGTTCTTATACTTCTACTTCACGCCGGGCCTCTGTGAGGTCGTGCTATTTCTACAGATGGACCTGCCCATTCAAGAAACAGCAGAAATATACAAAACAGCAACCCTATCACTGGGCCACTCCAATTTATTCAATAAAGATATTTCAGGAATGAGTATGGTAGCCGTCGCCGAATGAATTTATATTCTATTTACAGTGTGTTTTATTCGTGGATGACTTGAGCATGCCACAGAAGGAACAGTATGGCGCACAGCCGCCTCTGGAATTGCTGAGGCAGTGGATCGACCACGGTCACTGCGTACGACCTCAAGGATAAATCTCGACAGGAGGTTGTGGATGTGGTTAGTAGGTTCATCCGTTCAAAAATCAAAGTACAAGTCAATGTATCTTTTATTCAATATAGGCTTAACTTCAGCTGTTATTGAACGTTAACAAAAAATCTACCACCGGTTCACTAAACTAGACCTGCACAGAGAAGAACCGGCAAGAAAAAAATAACAAAAAGATACAAGACTGCGGTCTTGTATCTTTTTTTTTTTGATGCAATTATACAAACTTGTTTAGGTATGAAATCAGCAGCAACCAGGGGTCTTGCAAGAGCAGAGCACGAGTCATTTCCAAACATTCTTGTCCTCAATATATTCTTGGACATTATAGTAGGCCCTTGTCATTAAGACCATTTGAAATCAGAATAAAACAGTTCAAAGTTCTAAATTAATTTAAACCTTTATACATGTATATAAGTTATGTTATGTAAATGTAAATAGGTAGAATAGATAAATACATGACCTCAAGGATCTCGACTGGGAGGCTGTAGCATTTTACCAAAAAGACAACTGGAAAGCAGGATAGCACGTACCAAAATAATAAAAAAATTCTGTATATCTAAGTTTCCTTGTAAGTGTATAAATAGGGAGAGCAGATAAAATCATGTGTATATCTAAGTCGAAGCTATGGGTAAAAGTGAAAAAGAATTAATGTGATAAGACCAATTTTGATGTTATAAAACGCAACTCTTATTCAAATATTAAATGATTTCGATATTGGCTTATTTTAAGCTCTTATTAAACTTCAAAACTAATCAACTAATTCAACTTATTAAAAACGTCTCCGCTTTTTTATGACTAAATGAAGCAGTTGTGTTGCCAACTGTAAAGAAGATGTTCCTGCGGATGTCCTTTTTCGCCAAGGTATAAATACAGCAACTAATGCACTGCGATTTCACTGTAGCTGTTCGCATCAGCGATGCTGCCGCCTGGCGGTGGCTCCAATCTGATAACAGCGCGGCTCACGCGCCACATGCTGCTGGTGACCCTGGACTCCTTCGAAGACAACACGCTGAACAAGATCTTCTGCACCATCATGGACTGGCATTTGAGCAAAGGTTTCGCGGATTCCCTGGTTCGTCAGGGCAAGGTACGATCGACCACCAGCGTTTATTAATAATTAATTTGCACTTTTCGTAATTTTAACAAAATAGTCATGTTCATGTTTCGTTTGATATATGTGCGAAATATTTTAATAGGTTTATGTATTTACATAACATACTCGTACGTAAATACATTATTTAATATGAAATGACTAGCTGCTGCCCGCGACTAAGTCTGCGTAGAATAGGCTGAAGGCGTAACATTCAGACAGAAAGACGTAAAAGATATACGTAAAATACGTACATAAATTATAGCCTTTGTCTTATTCTGATGTTTGATGTTTAATGTATAAGCTATATTATTGTAAAGTTTCATTAAAATCCATTCTGTAGTATTTGCGTGAAAGGGTAACAAACATCCATCCATACATACAAACTTTCGCGTTTATAACATTAGTAAGGATAATAAAGTTGAAGAGTTTGTTTATTCCAACGCGCTAATCTGTGGAACTACCAGTCGGATTTGAAGCAATCTTTTTGCATCTGATAGCCCAATTCTTGAGGAAGGTTATAGGGTATTTAACATCCCGCCAAGACCTTCGGGGATGAAGCAGAAAGGTTTTTCGTGGATAAAGTCGCACGGAACAGTTGCTACATTAATACATGCAGTGGAAATTTAAAAAATACGCCTTGATTCAGGCAGATCTCTTCCACGTTCATTCATTTCAACTAAATTCCCTTTGGCTACTGATGCTTTGTATTTTATCCTTTTTTATTTACATGTTTGTTATTGTTTATATACGCCAACATCATTCTAGTTTCGGGCGACTACTATAACAGGTTCTTTTCGTGTGTGTATAAATTAATTTTCAACGATAACACGCCGTCGACAGGCCGTTGTCTCAGCCACCATGGAGGTGTACAAAGCGGTGACCGTTCAATTCCTGCCGACCCCCAGCAAGTGTCACTATCTCTTTAACCTCCGCGACTTCGCAAGGGTGATCCGGGGCGTACTCTTGGTGCCCTCCACGCATTTGAAGGAGCTGCCCAAACTTGTGCTGCTCTGGATACACGAGATCTATCGCGTCTTCTACGACCGCCTAACGGACGATACCGACAGGTACGTAAATTCAGAGATTCACGACTTATTATTGGATTGATTTTACGTCTTTAAATATTTAAAAAAAAAGTAATTTAATTCTTTTCAACTGACGAAACGTGATGTGACGAAAAATCAAATTTTATAATATCATCCACACTAAACGAGTTGTTTACGCGTTGTTAGCCTTTAACGTGAACTTTCGGTTACCGCACTAATATAAATAAACGCAAAATAATAAACATATTTTCGCATTTTATAATGATATTTCTGTTTACCCGAATACTACACCAAATAAAACTAAAAGAAATAAAACCAATTGACGGATTTTGTCGCGTTCTTGGTCTGTCCCATAACCACGGGCTCTGTACAGGTTTTAAAATGTTAGGTATTAAGACAAAAATTAAACGCGATTTAGTTTTATCTAAACTTCTATAAAACCAATATTACCGTTTTATAAAACCAATTAAAAAATTAGAATAGGAATTACAAGACAAACGGTGAAACGTGTATCAAAGATCGGCCTTGTACCCTCTTCAGGGGGCGTTTGTACCAGATAGTTTACAAGTCCGTGTACAGCAACTACCGTGTGCATATGGACCAAGTGCTGACAGAGCTTGGCTACGTTCCTGAGGGGGAGAAATGCGGGGACAGACACGTGAACAACATATTCTTTGGCAACTACATGGAGCCCGACGCCGATCCGAAGATTTACGACCAGGTCGGTAATGTCTTTCTGTCTGTGTATCTGTTCGTCTGTCACCAGGCTGTATCTCATTGTTGCAACGATAGCAACACTAAATGTAACTAGCAATATTTCTACATTTCGTCGTTAAGTGAGGTAGCCGGGGTCCATTTTATTCATATGTGGTAGCGCATCGTCAACCCTACGGGTGTTGCAAATGATAATAGGCGGCGGTTATCACTTAACATCGTGGGAGCCGCCAGCTCGTTTGCCACGTTCTCAAATTTCCATATTTATACATAAACAAGAAACGGTCGTGTTTTCAATATTTGGAAATATACATATTTGCAAAACACGTTGCCAACAACATTATACTAACTTGATGTCGTTATCACAACATCAATCCTAAGTCCTCAGAAAGAATTATAAGATGATCAGGCACTTTTCATTACGTTTTTTTCGTGTCTTTCCTGATATGGTTTTCTTTGGATTTTTCATGACTTTTTTTAAAGCCTTCCATTTTATTTTCCAATTCATACTAAAGTGAAATACTAAATTACAATAATACGGAATGTATTAATAGATACAGGGTAGTATATAGTACATAGATTTGAGAAAGTTAAAAACTGTTTTATATAAAATACAAGCCTCAAGTTGCGAATAAAAATGGAATAATGTCTGTGATCGCCTGTATAACTACACAGTCAGCCTTATGCCGTCTGTTGTAGCATAAGCTGAGTTTCCACCTTTTGCCAAGGAGATTTTCCTTAATTAAATTTCTTTAATCTTCTTAATAAATTTATTCTTTTTTAAATCCCTAATATTGTTAATGTTCTTTTTTAAATTCTCTTTTTTATTGTTTAGCATTTAAATTTATTGTACAATCTATTTTTTCTTGGCAATAAACGATTATTATTATTATTATTAACTATGTGCAGGTCATGGACCTAGATGACATGGCGGTGAAAATGGAGTACTACCTTGAAGAGTATAACGTCGTTTCTTCATCACCGATGTCGCTGGTGATGTTCCGCTATGCGCTCGAGCACATCTCCAGGTGCACCAGGGTGCTGCTGCAGGACAATGGTGAGGAACTGGAGATTTCAGTTCGCAAAGAAATTTTTAAAAGGAATCGATCCGCGCCGTATGTTTGTGGTCAATGATAAACGTTCTTTAATGTGCAAAAGTTGATATAAATGATACAATAATATGTTGATATCAATGAAATTATGATTTGGAAATGGTTGCCGGTTGATGATGCATTCATCATAAATCTGTTGGTTGTTTGTGCCTAATTTAATTCAGATATAATTACAGTTTTGAACTTGCCAGTAGTTAAAAAAAACTGCTTCGAAAGTTAGTCGATTAGACTTATTTTAAATCATTTCGCTATTTCATTATTTTATTCAGGTTTTTTTTAGATCCGTTTAATAAGCTATTACATCACAGGGAAGCACATTTTCAGGTCAGCTGTTTATGAGGTAAAACTTTTTAAAGTTACAAATAAGTTTTGATTTTTTGCTTGTAGGCAACTTACTGCTTGTCGGTGTGGGCGGTAGCGGTAGAAGCAGCGCCGTGAAACTTGCCGCCAGCATATTGGAGATGAACGTTTTTCAGGTACCATTGATTTTTCAATGACGGTTGTCCTAATTTATATTTTGAACAAAATTCTAAGTAGCCAACAGTTAGAACATAAATAATATTTATGAAGAACTAAGATTTGTTTCTAATTTTTAAAGCCATTTCAAAGGTCTAAATTCATGTAGTAACTATCCCGTAATAATTCCGATTGCAATTGCAAATCATAACTAGAAAGAATGATAGAACAATTCTCAGGCGATATTAAAAGCATACACTCACTACTAAACACGAAACGGCATAGAATCCGTGAAATATCGGACATCTGTGAAATGAAAAGAGTTTTATGAATGACGCTAACGAGTTCTTCCCGCGATCAGATCGAAATATCCCGGGTGTACGGGCAGACGGAGTGGCGTGACGACATACGCAGGATGCTCATGAAGGCCGGCATCATCGGCAAGCCGCTGGTGTTCCTGTTCGCCGACAATCAGGCAAGTATGATTCAGAACAGGCGCCGGCTTTATTGAAAGGTGGCGACGCATCTGCGACCCTAGCGAGTGAGGTAACCGGGGCTCTTTATTAACAAGATGGCAATGCATAGGATGGTTGCGAATGTCCATAGACGGTGGTTATAACTCAACATCAGGTCAAATGCCAGCTCGCTTGCCATCTTCTTACATAAAGAAAGTCTGGTTTACGTTGCAGTCGTTGCCACAGCCGGGAATGTAGACGCATAAAATAAATTTCAATTTATATAAATAGGTGTTACAATAAAGAAGCTTACAGAAACTTATATGCCTTTTAGAGGCACTGCAATTTTTTTAGTGGACACTTCTCACTTCAATATTAATTAAATTAAACGAATTTTAAAGGGGGAAATATATACTTTTCTGTCCTCATCGCTCTAAATATTATTTTACAGAACAAAACGGATTTTGTTCTACTTAACAATTCAATTTGGTTGTAAACTTAGGCAAATCAGTTATATTTTTAATTTCATTGGATAGTTTACCGTGTAAGCTACGTTAAGTAACACATATACGTGTAGGATGTGGCGTAATTAATATTATATAATCTTTCACCAGAAGTTAAATAAAAGAAAACTAATCGGAACATACAAATTTGCCCTTCGTAATTGTTTGTGCTAATGAAAATTTCTCTTCTTTGAAAATTATCTAGATCATATACGAAGGTATGGTCGAAGACATAAATATGTTGCTGAACACCGGCGACATACCCAATCTCTACAACATGGACGATAAGGTCGAGATCCTGGACAAGATGCAGGCGGCCGTCAGGGATACTGTAAGATGACCCAGACTTCTTGCATTTCATTTTCTAGTGAAGAAGCAAACTTTAATAGCTTTATAATAACTGTTAATTCAAACTGTCTTTATTTATTATTTCCTGACTGATACACAGTTGTCTTGTGATCCCATTGTTTTCAGATTTAATACCGTAATACCATTGAAAACTTCAAGGTTATGGGCGTTCCAACATTGAATTTATAAGTAAAAAGGCCGTGTCGTTATCAATGAAATAGTGACATGTTCTTACTATTAATTTAATAAAACCGTTAATTTGTTTGACGTTTATTTCTATGAAAATGTACTCGTTAGTGTAAGCGGAATTTAACAATAACGGTTTCGCGGCCGGTTCACCTAACATCAGGTGAACGGCCTCTGTTCCCATAAAAAGACCTCATGCACATCGAATTCCGCCCTCGCAGGGCAGAAAAATCGAGACCACACCACTCGCCATGTTCGGGTTCTACGTGGAGCGCGTTAAGGCGAACCAGCGCATAGTGCTGGCCATGTCGCCCATCGGCGACTCGTTCAGGAACCGCCTGAGGATGTTCCCGTCCCTTATCAACTGCTGCACCATCGACTGGTGGGGACATAACCTTCGTGGCTAATTGCCCTAAATTCAAATATCTTCGTTCAGTATAGAAGCATTACACTTATTTATTGATTGTCAAAATACCACTACCGGTTCGGAAAACAGACCGGAGAAGAAACGGCGGAAGAAAATCAGCGAGATATCTTTTTTACCATTATTCGTATAAAAAATATGTTCACGACATATTAAAGTCCACTTGAACGAACCTGGAGCGATCTAATCATTTCCATAGCGTGTTATAATTTAAAATTTAAATGATGACTTTGTGACAGTTAAGGTATTGGCTTCGACGCTGGAGGTGGTGGATTCGATTCTCATACGGGTGTAAGTATTTGTGACCCACAGATAATCATTTGGGATCTGGACGCTTGTCCACGTGAAATTTATGTTTGCAAAACGTACTTACAAAATAGGATAATGTTTTATGTATATTGATAACTATCGACCCGCCCGGCTTCGCACGGGTGCAATGTAGTTTTATTATATGTATATTATGCATATAATAAAACTTCCTCTTGAATCACTACAATCATCCGCTGCGTAGTTTTAAAGTTCTAAGCATACACAAGGACAGATACTATGTAGTGATGTAAGGGCAGGGCCGGATTTAAGAGAGGGCAACCGGGACTACAGCCCCGGGGCTTCGACAAAAGAGGGGCCCCCACAATAGAGACTTTGGAAAAAAAATTTCAAATTCAGATTAGTAAACACTAGTAAACAACTTTTAATTTACGATAATTCTTGTTTCCGATTATATTTATGTTCGTTAACTAATAAAAGAATCTATCCATGCTTTCACAATAAATTATTTATTGAAAAACTCGACGGGAAAAATTTGGAAAATAATTTGGGGACAAAGCCATTTTTGTTGCCACGGGGCCTCCAGACTCTAAATCCGGCCCTGTTTAAGGGCAATGTTTATTTTAAAAAGGAAAAAGTAATCGCTAACAGGTTCACCGCGTGGCCGCCCGAGGCCCTGGAGCGGGTGGCGTCCATGTTCGTGAGCCGCATGAGCGACGTGGGCAAGCAGCTGCGAGACGCGTGCGTCTCCATCTGCCAGCTGTTCCACATGAGCGTCGTACAGCTCAGCGACAGGTTCGGTGTTTTAAAAAGCCGGCCAAGTGCGAGTCGGAATCGCGCACGAAGGCCTCCGTACAATTATCTATAAAAACTGCAAAAATATCACGTCTGTTGTATGGGAGCCTCACTTAATTTTTTTTTTATTCTTTTTTTTAGTATTTGTTTCGGTAGCGGCAACAGAAATAAATCATCTGTAAAAATGTCTAACTATCACGGTTCATGAGATACAGCCGCGTGACAGACGGAGACAAACAGACAGAGAACGGTAAAAGTCAAAAAATTGTTATTGAAACTGCGCATGAAGCTAACAGGCGCCTTGTTACAAAAAGTGTGCTAGGGTTGGTTAGGTTAGTTTCTAGTCTATTTTTGTTGACAATTTCGAAAAATTTATTGACATTTAAAGTAACAGCCTATAAATGTCCCACTTCTGGGCAAAGGCCTCCTCTGTACAGAGGTGAGATGCGGCTGCAGTCTTCAACTGACATGTCAGACTACAGGCGGCTTAAAAGGCAGATCTCCAAATACATGCGGCGAGACTTACGCAACTTCAATACAGCTCGTATTGAGGGTGCTATAGAGCGGAACCTAGGCTCAAAAGTCTTGGCCAGAGATCTGTCTATCGGACAAAGCCAACTGACTAAGTTGAAGACTGACAGCGGGGCCATCGTCTCCATTAGACCAGAGGTTTTGAGTGAGATTGAGAGGTTCTATGGACAGCTGTACACATCGTCGTTGGAGCCACATACATATGTGAGTAACGACCCAAGAGCAAAGCTTATCCGACACTATTCCGAAAATATCCCGGACGTTAGTCTGAGCGAGATTAGAATGGCTCTTAACCATCTTAAGAATGGCAAAGCATCGGGAGAGGACGGATTTACAGCAGAGCTTCTGAAAGCGGGTGGAGAACCGGTACTTGTAGTCCTTCAGAGGCTATTTAATTCCGTCCTTCAGGGTGGCACTACACCAGAGGCGTGGAGCAGAAGTGTGGTGGTGCTGTTCTTCAAGAAAGGCGATAACGCTCTCTTGAAGAACTATAGACCGATATCCCTTCTGAGCCGCGTCTATGTGCTGTTCTCAAGAGTCATCTTGAATCGTCTCGCTTCCAGACTCGACGACTTCCAGCCTCCCGAACAAGCCGGATTCCGAAAAGGCTTCAGTACCATAGACCACATACACACCTTGCGGCAGATTATACAGAAGACCGAAGAGTATAATCTGCCCTAGCCTATGTGGACTATGAGAAAGCCTTCGATTCTGTCGAAATGTGGGCGGTACTCCAGGTTCTTCAGCGGTGCCAAATTGACTGTCGGTATATCGAGGTGCTGAGGTGTTTGTATAGCATGGCTACGATGTCCGTCCAAGTACAGTCCAGTAGTACAAAACCTATCCAACTGCAGAAGGGTGTAAGACAGGGTGATGTCATATCCCCGATGTTTTCAAGCTTCTGGAAACTCTTCACCGCTGCGTTGGAAGATCATTTTATTTAAGCGCCTAAGCTTCTGGACTGGAAAGTTTTGTTACATTGACGAGGTATTAACATCAATGGCGAATACATCACCCACCTTCGATTTGCCGACCATATCGTCATCCTGGCCAGAATCGCTGGAGGACCTGGGTGCTATGCTCAATGACCTCAACAGTGTCTCCCAACGGGTGGGCCTTAAGATGAACATGGACAAGACGAAGATCATGTCCATGTCACGCCTATACCGGTTGTTGTGGGGAGCACTGAGCTCGAAGTTGTTGACGAGTACGTTTACCTAGGACAGTTAGTCCGGCTAGGTAAGTCCAACTTCGACGCAGAGGTCAATCGGCGAATCCAACTCGGATGGGCAGCGTTCGGGAAACTTCGGCAAATCTTTTCGTCGAATATACCTCAATGTTTGAAGACTAAAGTCTTCAATCAATGTGTGTTGCCAGTGATGACCTACGGAACCGAGACGTGGTCCTTCACTGCTGGCCGTATGAGGAAGCTCAAAGTCGCTCAGACAGCTATGGAGCGGGCTATGCTCAGTATTTCTTTGCGTGATAGAGTTCGTAACGAAGACATCCGAAGTAGAACTAAGATAACCGATATAGCTCAGAGGATGAGCAAGCTGAAGTGGCGATGGGCCGGCTATATAGCTCCTAGAACCGATAACCGTTGGGGAAGAAAGGTTCTCGAGTGGCAGCCTCGTACTGGCCATCGCAGTGTAGGACGACCCTACTACCTGGAGCCACTAGATGGAGTGACGACCTGTGCAAATGTGCGGGAAGTCGATGGTGCAGGTGGCTCAGGTACGATACTTCATTGCAGTCTGTGGGGGAGGCCTATGTTCAGCAGTGGACTCGAACAGGCTGAAATGATGATGATGATACAGAGGATATCAGCGCACAGTCCACCACGCGGCCCCACTGCGGATTGGCGGACTTGACATATCTTCGAAATATTTTTTTTTGTTATTATTTAGAAAATATGCAGGTTCCCTCACGATGTTTTCCTTCACCGCGGAGCACGTGATAATTCAGCACTTAAAGTTAAAAACATCATTGGTGCCGGCACCAGGGATCGAACTCAGGTTGCTCGAGTATATTGAATTAAATGCGAGCTCCCGGACACCGAGCTATCACGGCTATTCTTATTTGAAGGGTCACTCACTATACCCATACCCTGTCCCCAGGTTTTACACGGAGCAACGTAGAAAGGTCTACGTCACACCAACGAGTTACCTGGAGCTTATTAAGGCCTTCCAGAATCTTTACGCCTTAAAAGTAGATCAAATAACTAAATCCAGGATTCGGTGAGTAGTTAAAAAAATATTCTCAAATGACTTCTCATTCGCTATTTATAAATTTATGTTCATATATTTTTTACGCTTATTTGCACTCTTCAATATCTTCATCAATTAATTTTTTTTATTTCGATTATAGATCCTACAAATTTTATTTTATAGAATAAATCGAACTTTTCTTCTTTTTATTTAAAAATTGAAACATCATGTTCTAGACAACACACTGTACAACGTAAAGTTCTAGAAGCGTCAATGTAAACTCTTCTAGAACATTACGTTCTAGAAGCGTTTACATGCGGCATGTCGTGATGTCGCCAAACACGTTCTGAAGACGTTTGTAAAAAGTATGCCAATATTATAGCCACGACAAGTCGTTAAAGACTCAAGCGACCGCTTAGTTAGATCTATCAGCACGTACTATGGTTACGGTCCAACGCTGTGATGTCAGATTCTGACTGTACGTAGGTACGAAATGGGCCTCGAGCAGTTGGAGTTCGCCTCTGGGCAGGTGGCGGTGATGCAGCAGCAGCTGATAGACCTGCAGCCGCAGCTGGTGGACACCTCAGACCGGACCGAGAAGCTCATGATCAAGATTGAACAGGACACGGTTGTCGTGGAAAAGCAGAAGGAGGTATTTCTTCTTCTTCTTCTTCTTTAAAAAAAAAAAAACATTGCCATTACTTTAGGATAATATTATCCTGTGTTGTAATGACGTTTTACAAACATAAATTTCACACAGACAAACACCTAGATGCGAAACAACTATCTGTAACACAAATAGTTGTCCCGTGTGGGAGTCGAACCCACGACCCCTGACGCCCTAGCCAATACCTTGGCAAGACCCTGCTATTGTTAAAAACAGAAGGCGGCGTATATGAGTTACTGTGGTAGGGCCAGAACGCAGTTTTTGCAATCGAACCAATTGTGGGCTGGTCGAGGTCGGAAAACCAGTGTGAGGCCTTATGTTTTCGCGTTTAATCTGGTGTGTGAGGTAGCCCGGGCCCAATTTTTTAAAAATTGGCAACTCATCCACAACCCCTCTGTTGTCCGTGTTGTGTGGCTGTGAGTCCGTGAACGGCGGTAATCACTTACCATGATGAATCATCCACACGTGTGGCCACTTGTCACAAAGAAAAGAATAACCTTTTGTATGAGCGTTGATGTGATGGTATGAAAATGATCGGATTATTGCTAATTTATTAAAAGCAGAAGTCGGTATATTTTTACGAGGTGTGGAGTACACATTGGCCAGTAAAAGTCGTATCTCATAGAGACAGTCTTATCATGGTTGTGGTAGACAGGCACCCGAGCGCCTTCGAGGTGCTTTATTTCTGCGTTCAATACCGTCGACCTTAGCGCGCCTTTTATGTGAGAAATTGGCAAACTAGCTGGTGGTTCACCTAATGTGATGCGATGACCGTCCATGGACATTTGCAACTCCCGAAGTGTTGCCAACGCTTTGCCACATTCAAATATAGTGAGCAAGTAAAAGTGAAGGCACCGTTGTGCAGATAGTGGGGGCAGACGAGGCGCTGGCGAACGAGGCGGCCGCGGCCGCCCAGGCCATTAAGGACGACTGCGAGTCAGACCTCGCCGAGGCGGTTCCAGCACTGGAGGCGGCCCTGTCGGCCCTGAACACCCTCAAGCCGGCGGACATCACCCTGGTCAAGGCGATGAAGAACCCCCCGCAGGAGTCAAGCTGGTCATGGAGGCGGTCTGCGTCATGAAGGGCATACGAGGGGATAGGAAGATGGACGCCAACGGTGGGCAATATGCATTCTGAAATGAAATTATTTTGCGGATTTTATCGCGTCACGGACTCATGACAGGCCACGAAACCTGGAAAACGTTCGAAACTTCAGGAATTTAAAAACTAATTAAATTCGATAAAATAGTTTCGTGTCGCAGGAAATCAACATGTATGCATTCTGTTTGTATGTTAGAGGTCAAACAATTAATAAGGATTATTAGAAACAAATGAGTTTTATTCCACATCAGTCTGACCGTTTTTTTTTTCTTTTAATTTTAATTTGACACTGGCCCTCGCTTGACTGCCATCGCACGATGGTAAGTAGCGATGCAGCCGTTGATGGTAAGTGCGCTATCTCAGTAAAAACCTATTCACTCTTGCCTTGAAGACGCCTGGATTTGTCGTATGCTTATAAAGGCCACATAAGTAAGCAACAATGTAACTAAAATTACATTAAGAAAATATTTCAAGCTTAAATCTTTCAACTTTTAGTTATTTATTTTATTTTTATTTTTAAACTTCATGCACGAAACAGTACATAGGCGGACTTAATGATGACAGCATTTACTACCAGTCAACCTTAGGGTGGTACTGAGAAGTTGGAACTTTTGCGCGCCATTACAAATTGATAGTTATTATTGAAGTTCGAAATAGGACTGGAGGTTTAATGTTCGTGAATGTATCTTTTTTTTATAGGGAAGGCATACGAGGACTATTGGGGACCTTCGCAGAAGATGCTAGGTGACATGAAATTTCTTGAGAGTTTGAAGAATTACGATAAGGACAATATTCCACCAGCAATCATGAAAAGAATTCGAGAGAAGTTAGTTGATGTTTCAATATTTCACTGTTATATTCATCGGGACAGTCAAATGACGTCATTTGTCTTTCCATAATTCCTTATATTATCTTAATTAATATGTGAAGCAAATTTTTCGTAGCCGTTTATACGAAAATATAAAAGGGGTACGACCTTACACAAAAAGTATAAATTTTTTCTCACTTATAGCTTATATAGAAGGTGTGCAGATTGCTAATATTTCTTTAAAATTATGCTTAAAAATAAATAATTATGGTCGAATCCACCACTGGGGTCGCCCAGCTAACTAGCAAATATGATTTTTTCATATAATGCTATAGTTATAGCATTATATGCGTAGTTACGTAGTTACGTAAGTATATATAGCATTATATGAATATAAAAGTTCGTAACTATAACTATGTAATAGCCGTAATAGCTCAGCGCCGAGGAGCCCACTTTTAATACAATATACTCCAGAAACCTGGGTTCAAATTCCGATGCCGGCACAAATGAAATTACTAATTTGAAGTGCTGAATTATCACCTGCTCAGCGGTGAAGGTAAATTAGTGAGCAAACCTTTCGAAAACTAATTTTAACTAAAATTTCAAAGATATGTGAAGTCCGCCAATCTACAGTGTTGTCGCGTGGTGGATTATGCCCTAATTCGCTCTGTACAGAAGAGGCCTTTGCCCAGCTGTGAGAAATGTAAAGGCTGTTAATTAACTTTTTTTACAAGTATAACAATATGACTCAAAATACTTAATTAAAAAAAAAAAGATTGTTACATAGTTTTTAATTAGGCACGTCTCTAAAAATTTAATTATCGATACAGAATTACCCTCCCATAAGTTTGTTTACATAAGACGCATGCGCCTGTCGCATAGACCGAGCCGGTAAATTTTTTAAATTTTTATACATCAACTAACAAGAACTTCAAATACTATTAAAGTAATATAAACCTATAACTGAACAGGTGGTAACTTACTAACGACCTTACGTATTAATTAATTATGTAAAATTCGACGTTTCATAAGGACGCGCAAGCGTCTATTCGAATAAAGATATTTTCAAATTGAATTTAAACTATAACAAACTAATCACTTAGAACATGGAATGTAGCCAGTGTGATCTCGTTCAATGGGCAATCAACCACTGTATTGAACAATGCACGCTTTGAGGTACATCCCGGATCGGGAGTTCGACCCCGTGGTGATAGCGAAGGTGTCCTCGGCCTGCGAGGGTCTGTGCCGCTGGGTGCGGGCGATGGACGTCTACGACAGGGTCATCAAGGTGACCCTCCGACCTAGTTCTTTATTTTTATTTGGTTCACAAACCGAATGATACATTCAATAACAACTGTGTTACTACAACTAGTAAATGTATTCAAATATATGTATGCATTTTCTACAAAAGTGAACGGAGCTTTCTACATTACATCCCTAACACTTGAAAGTATACGCATTAAAACATCTTAAATACAAAATAAAATGAGAAAAAAAAACCTAATTCGTTCGTATATAAAAATAGTTTACCTCCAGAAATTCAGATCATGAATTTATCCTAACAATGCTGTAGTTTTTACATTTCGAAGCCGAGTGGTGAATATTTTACTCTCCTAGAAGGTTTTTTATACTATATCTTTATCCGCCAATACTTATCACTACAAATGGCTAGAAAACTTGAATTAATGGGAACCGAGACTATAGTAAAGATGAATCTTTTTTGTGTTATTGACACGTTTCCAACGTTGCATGATGATGGAATAGGTGGTGGCCCCGAAGAAGGCAGCTCTGGCGGAGGCCGAAGCGGAACTGCAGGTGCAGATGAACACGCTGAACGAAAAACGAGCTCAGCTGCAGGGAGTGCTGGATAAGCTACAGGTAAGGGAACGGCTCTGAACATGGTAAAAAAAGTAAAAGTAAAGTAACAGCCTATACATGTCCCACTGCTGGGCAAAGGCCTCCTCTATATAGAGGGAATCAGGGCATAGTCCACCACGCTGCCCCACTGCGGATTGGCGGACTTCACATATCTTCGAAAAATATTTTTTTTTGCTAGTATTTCGAAAACATGCAGGTTTTCTCACGATGTTTTCCTTCACCGCTGAGCACGTGATAAGTCAGCACTTAAAGTTAACTTCATTGGTGCTAGCACCGGGGATCGAACTGAGGTTGCTCGAGTATATTGAATTAAAGGCGAGCGCCCGGACACTGAGCTATCACGGCTCCTGAACATGGTAAATTATTTTATTTTTTCTGTGGCAAGTGAGCTTGCGGCTCACCTGATGGTAAGTGGCAACCGCCGCACGTGGACGTTTGCAACACCCGTAGGGTTGCAGATACGTTGCCATCCTATAATAAAGTGGATTCCGGTTACCTACCGCAGAGCTATAACATTGATACATTAACCATGTATAACATGATAAATTATGCATTAATATATTATCAGAAGACGTCTTATAAATATTGTCTTTAACAAAGATTTTTAATCTCAAAATTAGTCTGGTGAAAAATAGAAAAGCTAAACATTCATTGATATAAGAAAAAAAGTGGACCAGGTGGGTATAAAATAATAAAATGAATCTTAATATTAATAGATACAATTTCGGCGCCGCGGAATTAGAACCGGCGTCTGAAAAATACGTCTGGACGCTCGAGCCAAATATTTAGTTTAATAATTATGAATCATTGCCAACTCCTTTTGACAATGCCAGAGACTAAAAGCAAATCACTGGTCCTAACCTTTCTTCAATGCCAAAGGCTATAAACATGTTACTGGTCATAACCGTTTTAGCACGATGTAACACGCTTTGTCCCTCGCAGGCGCTAAACGACGAGTTCGCTGAAATGACGCGCAAGAAGAAGGGGCTGGAGGACGAGATAGACTTGTGCTCGACAAAACTGTCCCGCGCCGAGCAGCTGATCGGCGGGCTGGGCGGGGAACGCGACAGGTGGACGCAGCTGGCGTTCCAGCTGCAGCAACTGCTGGACAACATCATCGGTACGATGCAACCGCGCGGTGGACAGCAATTTCCAAGCGCCGCTGCTTACGCAAAACACTTGCCCTTGCCCTACTTTCTGCTTTATGCTTTCTTCTGTGAGGTCGAGGTGCTCCGAACGAGCCTGCCTCATGCAACAGAAGCTAATGCATGTTTCAAATACATTGACGCCTTTTGGGAGCAAATTCATCTCTTTGTACCGATGTCTAAAGTTATAAATGTAAAATTATGTTTGATACATTCCACACGACGATGGGCAAGATACCGACACGATTTCAAGTTGGATTATCTTTAAAACGTTAGTGAACTTGCGTTCTTCAGGAAACGCATCACAAAGAGCTAAGAATGAGTTTTAGATTTGTATTCAAACAAAACTACTGTGTTTGTGTTTTGTGGGCCAGTTGTACTAAGAAGTAATACTATGGCATAGAATACGGGTACAATATATTAATAATATTACTTTACCTACGGATATGTCGCCTGCAATCAGGGCCTGATTTCCCTACTGGCCAAGTAGGTCCGGGCCTAGGGCGGCAAAATTTAGGCAGCAAAACCTTGTTCGATTTTTCTTTCAGTTCAGTTCCGTATCCGATGTTCCGATGTTTCGTAAAAATTATAATAAATCATGCGGCCATACTGAATTTTTCGTATAATCATTTAGTAGGGAGGAGGCAATCTTGTATATGCCTTTGGCGACCAACGGATCAAATCCATCACTGCCTACAATTTGGTTTGAAATAGTCATTGTATCTATAAGAGGCGGTAGCTGAAATAATGATTTAAGGTGTTATAGCATCTATAATCTAATATCCATTTAATTCTTATGACGGAGGAAACGTGTATCCTAAATCTAGCTTTATTTGAGCATCTATAAAATTTTAACAAAGTTGTAAGCCATCTACGACTATAGTACGAGTATATACGAGTTTTTGTGTATCTATTGATAATATATTCATCAATTGGCATAATAGCAGCATCGAACAGTACATGTTAAATGAAAATAACTAATTAATTTTAGCGTCTCATGACCAAAAGGTTAGAAATTACATTTTACTTCTATTACCATTATTTTTTGTACTTCGTCCAGGGGATGTTTTGCTTTCGGCTGGATTCATCGCATATTTGGGGCCTTACACGGTGAGCTACCGGCGAGAGGTCATCCAGATATGGAACCAGAGGACCAAGATGCTTGGTGAGTTGACATTTAACCACAATTTGATCATGTCAACAGCAATAATGTAATGTAAATGTAAATTGTGTAATTGTAACCAAAACAAATCCGTATTTAAGCAGATTTTCGTATATTTCCCGGCTTAAAGAAACAATCGATTCCAATTAAGTGTGAACTTCGCCACCGCTAATCTTTAATGTTACTTTTACCTTAGTTAACCAAAAAATATTAGATATGTTCACAATAAAAATGTTAAATATGTTGACGATATAGTCGCAATGTAAGTTGCAAATCATTCTATAAACATTGTTCTTTACAAAAAAAAATATTATCTAAAAACCTTGCGTAGTGGTTTTTCAGCCGGATCGAGATGACGGTTTATAATCGAAACGGGAATCGAATCCCATAACCCCGGGGACACCGGACATTCTCTCAATAGGCACACCCTCGGGTACATCGCCCCTAACATAGTGAAACAATATTTAAGTGGGGCTCCCATACAACAGACATGATATTTTGCCCGTTTTATAGATAACGGTACGGAACCCTTCGTCCGCGAGTCCAACTCGCACTTGGCCGGCTTTTATGTTGATAATGCAGTGTTAATTGTTGCGTATAGACATTCCGTGCTCCGATACGTTTTCGCTAATATCGACCCTCGGTGAGCCGGTGGTGATCCGCGCTTGGAACATCGCCGGCCTCCCAGTCGACGCGTTCTCCATCGAGAACGGCATCATAGTGGAGAAGTCGCGCCGCTGGCCGCTCATGATCGATCCCCAGGGTGAGGAATCCCTTGAGGGTTTTCTTAATGTCTGTATTTTGATTGAGCAACTCTAATGTTATATATGAGCTGATACTTGAAAAGCAGCCACGGCTTTTGAGAAGTGATTGTAAAATGCTACACTCAGGGCCAGATTTAGAGGTCTGGAGGTTTCGGGGCAATAAAGGGGTGGAGGCCCCTTGGCCTGAATTATTTTCTATTGGTTTCTGTTAATATTTAATGTAATCATGTTTGTACAAAGTACTGTAGGTAAAAGTAAAAAGCGAAAAAAATATGAAAGGAAAAGTTGTTTACTATTGTTTACTGGTCTGAATTTGAAATTTTTTCTAAGTCATATTCTATGAAGTCTCTATTATGGGGGCCCCCTATCGTGGGGGCCCCGGAGCTGTTGCCCCGGTTGCTCTCCCCTAAATTCGGCCCTGCGTACACTTAGTTGTGGTGGAGTCTTACCGAGTTATATTATTTTGTTAATTTCATAACAAAATTCATACATGCGGGCTAAGTAAGGTAATGTTTTTATGTGAAAAGGTGGTGATCGAGCTCACGGTTCACCTGATGTTGAGTGATAACCGCAGGGTTACATATGCGTTGCCACCTTTTAATAAAGTGGGCCCCGGCTACCTCACTCACCAGACGAAACACAGAAGTGTAACACTTCCAATTCACGCCGGTCTTCTGTGAGGTGTCTTCTGGTCGTGGTACTCATCCGGACGGACCTGTCCATTAGTGCAACAGCGATAACTGCTGCTTGGCCCTACCACAGTGAGCAACGCTTCTGTTGATTCATATATGATGCTAATTCCAGGAAAGCAACAGTTTCTCAAAAGTAGTTACAAAATGTACCGGAGTCGTTCCGCTTTCAAGGTTGCAGATGTCCATAGATGGTAGTTGGAAGTCATATTCAATTTAAATAACGATAGTGTACGAACGAGCTTAATTATTCTTGTAATCATTTCATAACAAAATCCATCCATGCGGTAAATATTTTGCGACCTAAGTAAGGTATTAAACAAAATTGAAACCACGGTTCCATATATAATCCACGGTTAAGAATAATCATCATCTTAGTACTTTTATAATACGATTTTTATGGCTTTTTAATTTCCATTTATTAAAAACTGTTATAAAAATCGTAGAAAATGTCTTTTGAGATAATAAATTATATTGAATTAGTGCACATTCATGTATCTGCTGTGCTGGCCACAGACTCCGCTGCAGACACCGCTGCTACAATATTCAACACTATACTACACTTATGTGTATCTAATGCGTAGAACATAGAAGCTATTAAAATCCCGTCAATCCCCATGTGTTAAATTTTGTAGAAAAGGGAGCGAAAAGTTAGCGCCGCTGTGGGAATCGAACCCACGTCTTCGGGATTCGCGCCCGATTTTTCTACTAAAATTTTAATGTTTATTCTTAAGTGCGGAGATTAGCACTGTGAAAATTTAAATTTCTAACTCCCATCTGGATCCGGAACAGAGCAAGCCAACAAGTGGGTGAAGAACATGGAGCGCGAGAACCACCTGAAGGTGATAAAGCTGACGGACCCGAACTACACTCGGGTGCTGGAGAACGCGATCCAGATGGGCCTCCCGGTGCTGTTGGAGAACATTCGGGAACAGCTCGACGCAGTGCTGGAACCGGTGCTGCTTCGGAATGTGTTTAGGTGCTTATTACATTCATAAGATATACACTCATAACATCAGCCCTTTAAGGTTCCATACCCTAAGGGTAAAACGGGACACTATTACTAAGACTCCACTGTCTGTCTGTCCGTCTGCCACCAGGCTGTATCTCATGAACCGCGGTAGTTAAACTGTTGAAATTTAGTCACAGATTATGTACTTCTGTCGCCGCTATAATAACAAATACTTAAAAAAAGAATGAAAAATATTTAAGTGGGGCTCTTATACAACAGACGTCATGATTTTTTTGAGTCCGACTCGCACTTGTCCGCTTTTTTAGCAAACACCGAGTCAATTTGAGGAAGAACTCGACTCTCTTACGGCCGGTTTCAATTTTCTTTCTACAGATAGATTTGGTTTATTAGCGATAGGGATTTGACATTAGGTCCATAATGCTTACGTCAAAACTCAATCTGCAGTAACCAAATACATCTCTAAATCGAATATTGGAGCCGGCCGTTAGCCGACATTCAATATCTATCAATATATTGAATATATGGAAACTGTCCAGGTTCAGCCCCGGTCGTTGCCGGTGTCGAAGTCCAGCTTATTGTGTGTGTGACCCGTCAATCCGGAAAAAGTCTAAATCCATCCAAACTGTTCACTACTGTTAACTACCATTCACTGCTTCATTATACCAAGTTCTGAACCAGATTCGCCTGGCAATCAACTTATTTAAACGTTATTACATATTCTTTTCTTTTCATTTAAAACAGATCAGGCGGGATGGACTGTTTGAAGTTCGGCGATAATATTCTGGAGTACAACGACAGCTTCCGTTTCTACATCACCACTAGACTCAGCAATCCGCATTATTTGCCCGAGATCGCTGTCAAGGTCAGTGGAAATGGTCGTTTTGATTTTCTTTTATCTATTAGACATACCGACAGCAAATACAAAAAAGTGATATACATATTATGTACATATAACTGTGGTAGGGTCACGGCAACATTTTTCGCTGTCACACGAATGTACGTCCGGGGAATTACCACGACCTCACAGAACACCGGCGTTCTGCGTTTCGTCTGATGAGTAAGTTAGCCGGAGCCCACTTTATCAGAAAGTGGCAACCCATCTGAAACACTACGGGTGTTGCAAATATCAGGTAAACCGCCAGCTTACTTGCCACCTTCTCACAAAAAAAAAAGATATATGTACACCAATGTTGTTAATGTTTTCGCCAAAATCAATTACCAGTCCCGTCATATGCCAATGAAAAGGGATCGAGTTATGAAATATGATTATTGCATTTGAAGACTTATTTCACAGGTGACGATGCTAAACTTCATGATAACGCCGCAAGGCCTGGAGGACCAGCTGCTTGGAATCGTGGTGGCGCAAGACCGGCCCGAATTGGAACTTAAGAAGAACCAACTCATCGTAGAGGGCGCTAACAACAAGAGGACTTTGAAAGAAATCGAAGACAAAATTCTAGAGGTATGCTCGATATCGTATATAAGCGCACTCATGAACAAACGCGTTTATTGGAGGTGAGTAAAATAGACTGAATTATACGTTATGTAGGTTTCTAAAATCGGCCCGTGTTTTAATAAGAGTCGGAATTTTAGGTCGTTTCCTGACAAAGTCAAAATCATGATTTTCATAATTAAGTTCCTTCAATTCTAAATCTGCGATTTATGCAACATTGGGGTAGGTACAAAACCGTTGCTAGTCTTATAGATAAAAACACGCTCTACCCTAAATTATCATTGTCCTCCTGCCCTTTTCCCACCTCTTTTTTACGCGGGAAAAATCCTTTACGGATCTCCTGCTACCTGATCGGGGGAGTGGCAGGGGTATGAGGGAGTACCAGTCAGAAACGGGTTCCCCTTAAAAAACCCACGTTGCACGTGTCTCTGTCACATCGAAACACACGGGTGTAAACAGCTCTGTGCCGGTGCCATCACGATCCCCAGTCGAGAGTCCACAATACCCGAGAGTAATAGGCGATGTTATTTCTATAATTCTTGATTCGAACAATTTCTGGCCACTGTTAGGTGCTCTCGTCCGCCGGCAACATCCTCGAGGACGAGTCTGCGAACCAGATCCTCTCCTCGTCGAAGCTGCTCTCGATCGAGATCGAGGCGAAGCAGGCTGCCGCCGCCGTCACCGAGCTGGAGATAGACGAGGCGCGCCGCCTCTACGTGCCCGTCTCGGAGCACAGCTCGGTCCTGTTCTTCTGCATATCGGATCTGGCGACCATCGATCCGATGTACCAGTACTCCCTCAACTGGTACGCACCCGTGTGCTTTTGTTTCCTCCTTTATACAGTCTAATATGAATGTCTGTTAGAAGCAAATGTTCGCTGCTCGACTGGTACGTGATTTATACCTGATTTATGCTATTTATAACCGACTTCAAAAAGGAGGAGGTCTTCAGGAACTTCGTCGTTTATGAACCGATTTTAAATTATTTTTTTATTGGAAAGGAGATATCCCAGGGGTGGTACCGTGATAAGGAAACCCGGATCTGATTACGGGATCCCAGAGAAATCAAGGGCAATCAATTCCACTGTTATAGGTATTAATGTTATAGGTATTCATTTAAAAACGTTTTACATGTATTCTAACCATTAATACTTATTTAAACATTTCTGAGTAACTAAACTAACTAAATCAAAATATCGGTGGTAAGGCCACGCAGCAGCCTCGGCTGTTGCACGAATGGGCAAGCAAGGCCGGGTTAGTACCGCGACCTCATAGAAGACCAGCGTAAAGTGGAAGTATGACAATTACTTTCGCGATTCATCTGGTGAGTGAGGTAGCCGGAGCCCAATTTTCAAAAGGATGTCAACGCATCTGTAACCCTCAGGTGTATCCGGCGGCGGTATTCACTTAACATCAGGTGACCCGTCTGCTCGTTTGGCAACCTTTGGCATAAAAAAAAAAAAAACGAATGAACTTTGTGGCTAAGTGATTTCTAAATTTTAATTGTTACTTTTATTTTGTTTTTATTTTATGTTTTGTTTGTTATGTACCAAATAAATATTTCTTTCTTTCTTTCTTTCTTTCTTGCTAAGTAAATTAATTTACTTAATATCTTATCAATATATTTATTTCAATAGTTTCATAAAAATAGCTGGAAAAAAAAAAAACTTGGCCGCTTTTGAAACGTGATCTGTCTTCTACTGAACGTCTGAGATCAACGAGAAGATACAGGGGAAATGGGTTGACAAAGGAGTCAAGTAATCTGTAACCATTAACAGAGTATGGTGTACAGTCACGGCCATAGTTAAGGTTACTTTATTAAACAGGTGGCAACGCATCTGCAACCTTATAGGTATTGCAAATGTTCATTAGCAGCAGTTGTCACTTAACATCAGATGAACAGACAGCTCGCTAACTTCTCGCATAAAAAAATAACCTTCTCTAATATGTGTACCAATGATTTATCGAGATCTTTGTTAAAAAATGGACGCCAGGCATGAAACAACCTTTCAGTAAAAATATGTTGGAAACAGAGTTTCCTCACCGAAATCGGTTTCGAACGTTTAAATGGGACATTATAAGTTATGCCTTAACACTTTGGCAGGTTCATCAACTTGTACAACCAGGCGATAGTGAACTCACCGAAGAGCGACGACCTGCCAGTTCGCCTGGAGGGCCTCAACAACTACTTCACGCGTAGCATCTACGAGAACGTTTGCCGCAGCCTCTTCGAGAAGGACAAACTGATATTCTCTCTCGTTCTAACACTCGGCCTACTCAGGCCTAAGGTGACGTTATGCGTACAAGGCGATTTTTATTACATTTAGGCTTATTTTAGATATTATCATTGGCACAATATACCACTCTCTTTATTAAGACAAGTCCAAAAAGAAAACTGGCACGTGATTTTGCGTTGATTTTTATTTTTACATATTATTATGTAACCGCAAAAAATAGCGAACGGTAAGAAGATATCAGTTTTTCAGAATTGTAAAGCATAAATATCACGACTTTAAAATATACGTGTAACATATAATAATGTATAAAATAATATACGTGTCTAAAAAATCACGTTTAGACACGTATATTATTCGGGTTTAATGTAAATACGTTTATTTTGTTTTTCCTTACGATTTGGGTACCATTATTTCTGTATAGGATATGCATATATTTGTCAAAAGACAGGTGTTTTAGCCGCTATCTTTTTGATATGTGTAGAAAAACTCACGTCTGACGACCCGAGAGGATAGCAGCGATTACGGTTTGAAATACAAAGCGCCACTGCTTTTAATACTGAACTAAACTTTTCTATACTTAAGTCTCTACTCCTAAGTAAGTAAGGAAATACGATAATGGAATTATTCGCAAGCTGGTCATGTGAAAAAAATAAAAGAAAGATTGACGTTTTGAATTGGCGGTTGGAAAGTCGTAAAGAAGTGTGTGGTTTTATCGTGACACATTTGTACACTGTGGTGGGACCAAGCAACAGTATTCACTGTTGCACGAATGGGCAGGTCCATCCGCTTTAGCACCACGACCTCACAGAAGACCGGCGTAAAGTAAAAGTGTTACACCCCTGCGTTTCGTCTGGTGAGTGAGGTAGCCGGTGCACACTTTATTTAAAGGTGGCAACGTATTTGCAACCCTCCGGGTATTGCATATGTCCATTAGCGGCGGTTATCACTTCACATCACGTGAACCGCCAGCTCGTTTGCCACTTTCTCATATAAAAAAAGAAACAAAGAAACATTTATTTGGCACATAAAAACAAAATACAATGGATACTAAAAACAGAATACCTATAATTAAAATGAACCAAAATATTATAATACTCATGTCTACCGTCAGATATTCGCGAATACGGTACAGTAATTTTAGTCTATAAAAGCTAGCAGCTAGATGTGTTCCTCGAAGCGTAACTTTTCATCCATTACAAGTCCCAGATTACGAGCTTCCAAATACGCTCTAAGGGAAAGACGTATGGAAAGGGTAACTTTTGTGATCAGGGCGAGATAGACGACGACTTGGTGACTTTCCTCCTTACCGGCGGTGTGGCATTGGAGAACCCTTACGAGAACCCAGCCCCAAGTTGGCTCTCCGAGAAGTCCTGGTCTGAAATAGTGCGCAGCAGCAACCTTAAAGGGTGAGGAGGGTTGGCGTTTCGCTGAAAATTTAAAAAAAAAAAACGGCCAAGTGCGAGTCGGAGTGCGAGTCACCATTATTTATAAAAACGGCAAAAAATCTTGTCTGTTGTATGGGTGCCCCACTTAAATATTTTTATTATTTTTTTTTAATATTTGTTGTTATAGCGGCAAGAGAAATACATCATCTGTGAAAATTTCAACATTCAAACTATCGCGGTTCATGAGATACAGCCTGGTGACAGACGGGCAGACAGTTAAATAGACGGCGGAGTCTGAGTAATAAACTTAGTAATAAAACGGGACCCGTTTTACTCTTTGGGTAGGGAACCCTAAATATTGGAAACCATAGGTTGGTGCTGGAAGGATTGTTTAATTGAGGGGAATATGACATGTAATATTGTCCGATGGTGCTACAGCTGGAGGTGGAAGTTAATGGAGTAAGTCTCCATTCACTTTCTCCGTGCCACGATGAGCTCAGGTTCAGAGCACCGGTCCGTTTAACAGATCCCGGAACCGCTTTATGGATGTCTAAAAAGAGATTCTTGTCAATATCATGTTTCAAACATTTATTTGGCATACATTTGCCAATGGAATGACTGATAAAATTTAGGTTTTACAATGTATAATTAAGAAAATAGTCAGTGCATTCTATGGGCCCAATGCAAACAAGTATTATACGTACTATTAGTATATGTCATAACTCATGCCCATTTATTAACTAAAAAACTGAAAAATACTTATAAAGGAAACTTTAATTGGAAATAATTAATAACTATTGCGTTTTGGTTTTCTAATTGCAGATTGGAAGGATTCAAGGAAAACTTTGAGTCGAATTTGAAGAGCTGGAAAGACTTCTACGACCTGTCCGCTCCACAGGAGAGCGACTTACCAGCGCCTTATGGTGACATTAAAGGGATTCCCAAACTCATTATGTTTAGGTATATAATAATGGTATCATTAGACCACATTGTTCTTTGACTGGAACGGTTTCAGTATTTCCATGAATGGAATTGCAATGAAGACTATTATAACAATATAATGTATGTGCGATGAAAAAGTTGTTTTCCTTTTTTTGTAAGAAGAAATGTTCTGTATGTTTGTTATGTACCTTCAAATCGTCACTGATCTACTCGGTGAAAGTGAATTACAGGGTTTATAGAACAGTGATTATTTTTGAAAAATAAGATTGTTAATGAAAGTATTAGTAAACATAGTATAATATGTTAGAAACGTTAATTCCCTGCAGTAGTCAAATTTTTTTCTAATTTATTTTTTACACCCCAAGTTAAGGCTAACTTAAAGCTAATAACCATTCCCTCAATCCTCGGAGTAGAGAAATCTTAATGTAAGTAGGTGCAAAATAAAACACGCGATATGAAAAAAAGAAAAAAAAAAGGCAAAGGTACATTTAATAGAATAAATTTGACATAATAATTTCTTGTATTTACGCGATTGTATTTACATAAGCTTGCTTCGCTGCCGTGGGAATCGAACCTTATACATCGGGATTCGCGATCAGACGCTCTAACCACTAAGCTAAACGTCCGATTACCGCACTGACAAAAACCTCAACGTCTTTTATCTGCATTGCTTCAATGTAGACAAAAGAGGTACGACAATTCGCCATGACGACCCGAATGGCGTAGTCTGTTGTGTACCCGCCTTCTGCGCCAGAAGGTGTGGGTTCGATCCCTACTACTGCAAAAATATTGTGTGATGAGCATAGTGTTTTTCTAGTGTCTGGGTGTTCATATATGTATAATGTGTATTTATTTACAAAAAAAAAGTATGTTTATGTATGTCTATCAGTTTTCTGATACCCATAGTACAAGCGTTGCTTAGTTTGGGATTAGAGAATGTTGTGTAAAAAAAATGTGTCCTAAAAAAATCCCCCCGCCAGGTGCATTCGGCCCGACAAGCTGATACCGCTGGTGCAGCAGTACGTGGCGGAGTCACTGGGCCGCAGTTACATAGAGCCGCCGCCCTTCGACCTGCAGCGCTCGTACGAGGACAGCAACTGCTGCTCGCCGCTCATCTTCATCCTGTCGCCCGGCTCCGACCCCATGTCGGGCCTGGTCAAGTTCTCCATGGAGAGGAAGGTCGTCACCTTCGAGACCATCTCGCTCGGCCAGGGCCAGGTGAGGATGCCGATACGCGTAAAAATCTAAGGGTAAATTGATATTGACACGATATTAATGCCTTGTCCCGTATGTCTCCCTATCTCTTATATGCATGTAAATTAAAACGCGCTAAAATCCGTCTAATACTTTCATTTAACAATATATAATATTCGCGTAAAAACAAGAAATTAACAAGCTATAGGGTGACTCCAGGGTTCAGTTGCTAAGCCCTTGGCTTCAGCACCGAAGATAGTGGGTTCCCATCTCACACGGAACAAATATTTATGTATTTGGGTATTTCTAAAACAACATCCAGCCGATGCAGCAAATAAAATTATCCACGTTGTGGCGACCCTGTCTACGAGAGATAAGGGCAGCAGGAAAATCACTGAGCTAGACTTAGGTACTTGACCAGTGCAGGAGTCACCACTACAAAAACTGTTTAATGTATCACTCGAATTTTTTAAATTACTTTTTTTTTCGAAAAAGCAGTTTTCACTTCAATTGAAACACACTTGAATTTAATGGTAAAGTCTTTCTCTTTATCTCTCCACCTTATATCTGAAATGAGTATGTAAAGAAAGAGTTTTCCTCTCGACGCCCTCCAGGGCCCGATAGCCGCGAACATGATAGCGCAAGCGATCACCACCGGCGGCTGGGTGGTGCTGCAGAACTGCCACGTGATGGACTCGTGGATGGGCGAGCTGGAGCGCATCTGCGCCGAGGTGATCACGCCGCAGCAAACCCACGCGCAGTTCCGGTGCTGGCTGACCTCGTACCCGAGCAAGGCTTTCCCGGTCACCGTGCTGCAGAATGGTGAGTTGCGTACGGACGAATCCGCCTCGTTGATTAGAATAGAACAGCACATTTAGCTTTAGTATAATTATACTAGTACCATAGCACGTTTAGAGTCCTTACGAGAATGATAGTAAGAATAGATCGTTTGGTTTCGAGACCCTTTTTGACACGGTCATATTAGTTTCACCTGTACGTGTGTATGAATGTAAAGGAATCTTTAATTTTAATAATAAAGATTTAGCCCCACTTTGAACGATCAGATTTGAATCAAACACACTCGTCAAAGTTTTTTCCTGATCAGGATCTTCAGGATCAGCTATTTTCCAAATCCGATACCTGATAGTGTCCTTAACAATAAATTTTTTTTGTTAATTACAATATTCATAACTTTTTCTTTTTATAGTGCTAATTTCTGCACTTAAGATTTAACATAGAAATTGTAGAAAAAGTACGAAAAGATTGTCGCTGCTGTGGGGAATCGAACCCACGTCTTCGGCATTCACACTATTCATAATTTAAATTTAAATTAATTACAAAAGCGTGTTTTTTTAGTTTTGTTAAAATATTATTTATTTATGTGAGAAAGATGCAACCGACCTGACGGTTTATCTGATGCATATGAGTATACCCGCCCAAAGGTGGCGAAGCGTCTGCAACTCCTGTGGGATTGCAGACGCGTCGCCACCTTTTCATTGTGGGCCCCGGTTATCTCGTTCAAAGCGCAAATGTATAACACTTCCACTTTTCGCCTTCTTCTGCGAGGTCGTGGCACTTCTCCGGACGAGCCTGCCCATTCGTGCCACAGCGAAGACTGCTGCGTGGCCCCACCACAATTTTGAAATGACATCGGAAGATATTGTTTCCGTCCGACACGAAGCTCTTGTCGACAGGCGTGAAGATGACCAACGAGGCGCCGAAGGGCCTCAAGAACAACATGTACCGCTCGTACACAACGGACCCGATCAGCGAGCCCGAGTTCTACATCTCGTGCCCGCGCACCGAGGAGTGGCGGCGGCTGCTATTCGCGCTCTGCTTCTTCCACGCGCTGGTGCAGGAGCGACGCGCTTTCGGACCCCTCGGGTGGAACATCGCCTACGAGTTCAACGAGAGCGACCTCAGGATCTGCATCATGCAGCTGCAGGTCAGATCGCTGCGAGGAAGCCGTGGTTTAAGAAAAGGGAGCTGCCATGGCATCGGCTCCGGCGAAGACGCTATTTTTGTGAACCACATTCTCTTCTCAACAGGAACTGACTCCGAACCGGCGGCAACATACTTAGGAACTTTTTTAATTGTTTGTGTTTAAAATCCGACGTTTCGTAAGAACGCGCAAGCGTCTGTTTGAATAAAGATATTTTGAGTTTGACATATGATTATTTCGGATCTACAGTGGCGGAGTTGCCACGGCGTCAGCTCTGGCGAGGGTCGCGCGTTCGGTTCCCGATAAACTGTTTTTTGTGACCCACGTATGATTATTTTGGAGCTAGAGTGATTGTCACACGGGACGGCCGTTTTTGTGACCGCACACGGACGGTCGTTCCGGATCTTGGTGTTTGTCCACGCGTAATTTATGACGTTACATATTTTGAAACGTCTTTACAGCGCTGGATATTGTCATCCTACAGTAAGAGGCAATGGTTACGAAAAGAAAGCTAAGAAGTCCGTTGGCCTAGTAGACACCGCTCCAGTTTATCGCCGCCGCTAGATTTGAGCCGAAAAGACTTAGATACTTTCGAGAAGAGAGTCGCTGGAAAAGCATTAGCAAACTTTATGCTGTTGCCGTTTTATACAAATCAATTCACCAAGCATAAAGAGTACTACAAAGTTTACAGTATATACCAGCTATCTCTGCTCAATAATTAAAAGAGAATGACCTCCAAATCTGCGTCATCAGACATTGCCATGATGGATGTAGCAAGCACCCCGAATGGAAATAGGATACATTTTATCTAATAATAGAGCAAAGCCGCCGGTAAAAGCTAGTTAATATAGTATCGACACGAGTTTCGTTCAACTGTTGCGCCAGATGTTCCTGACGGAGTACGCGGAGACGCCGTTCGACGCGCTGAACTACCTCGCCGGCGAGTGCAACTACGGCGGCAGGGTGACGGACGACAAGGACCGACGGCTCATACTCTCGCTGCTCTCCATCTTCTACAACGAGCAGGTCACCACGGACCCCGAGTGAGTGCGGACCGTACTATCGAGGGATATAGAAACGCTAAGTTACCACGAGCTTTATTTATGGAAAAAGCAGCAAACGGGCTGGAGGCTCACCTTCTTCTTCTTATTTTCGAGTCAAAATAGCTACTTAGTTTTCTTTCGACCAGGGTTTGGCCACATGCACCGCAGCAGAATTGGCTTCAAGAGGTCTTCGTAGGACACAACCACAATTGTAGCAGATCGTTTGGACCTCGCCAAAGTGACACGTTTAATTAAAAAATATGCTCTCTTCTTGAAGGCGGCAGCTGGTTTCACAGAATGGTTGGGCTTTACAGACTAACGCTGTGAGTGCCCGATGAAGCTTTGTATTGTCTACGAACAGAGTCAACTGTGGGGCCTCGCAACATCTTCGGCTGCTTCACGAATGGGCAGGTCCGTCCGGGTAAGGACCACGACCTCACAGAAGACCGGCGTGAAGTGGGAGTGTTATACTTCTGCGTTTTGTCCGGTGAATGAGGTAGCCGGGGCCAACTTTGTTAATAAGGTGTTGTAGATGTTATAAAATAACCGGATGTTGTAAATGTTAAGCTATGAGACAGATGTCATATTTTTAAGCGAATCGACCACTTCACTCCCTGCTTAAGTACTAATACTCGCCAGCTACTCGTTCTCGCCGAGCGGCGACTACCGGATCCCGCCCAGCATGGACTACAACTCCGTGCTGGAGCACATCAAGGCGCTGCCGATGATCGCCAAGCCCGAGGTGTTCGGGCTGCACGAGAACGCGGACATCACAAAGGACAACAAGGAGACGGCGGCGGTGAATTAAATAAATCACTACATAGCGTAAACAAAGTCGTCCCGTTTTCTGTCTGTCCCTATGTATGCTTAGATCTTTAAAAGCACGCAACGGATCTTGATGCGGTTTCTTTTATTAGAATGAGTGATTCAAGAGGAAGGTTTATGTCTATAATACATTGTGTAAAAAAAGTCGTCTCGTTTTCTGTCTGTCCCTATGTATGCTTAGATCTTTAAAAGTACGCAACGGATCTTGATGCGGTTTCTTTTATTAGAATGAGTGATTCAAGAGGAAGGTTTATGTCTATAATACATTGTGTAAAAAAGTCGTCTCGTTTTCTGTCTGTCCCTATGTATGCTTAGATCTTTAAAAGTACGCAACGGATCTTGATGCGGTTTCTTTTATTAGAATGAGTGATTCAAGAGGAAGGTTTATGTCTATAATACATTGTGTAAAAAAAGTCGTCTCGTTTTCTGTCTGTCCCTATGTATGCTTAGATCTTTAAAAGTACGCAACGGATCTTGATGCGGTTTCTTTTATTAGAATGAGTGATTCAAGAGGAAGGTTTATGTCTATAATACATTGTGTAAAAAAGTCGTCTCGTTTTCTGTCTGTCCCTATGTATGCTTACATCTTTAAAAGCACGCAACGGATCTTGATGTGGTTTCTTTTATTAGAATGAGTGATTCAAGAGGAAGGTTTATGTCTATAATACATTGTGTAAAAAAGTCGTCTCGTTTTCTGTCTGTCCCTATGTATGCTTAGATCTTTAAAAGTACGCAACGGATCTTGATGCGGTTTCTTTTATTAGAATGAGTGATTCAAGAGGAAGGTTTATGTCTATAATACATTGTGTAAAAAAGTCGTCTCGTTTTCTGTCTGTCCCTATGTATGCTTAGATCTTTAAAAGTACGCAACGGATCTTGATGCGGTTTCTTTTATTAGAATGAGTGATTCAAGAGGAAGGTTTATGTCTATAATACATTGTGTAAAAAAGTCGTCTCGTTTTCTGTCTGTCCCTATGTATGCTTAGATCTTTAAAAGTACGCAACGGATCTTGATGCGGTTTCTTTTATTAGAATGAGTGATTCAAGAGGAAGGTTTATGTCTATAATAAATAGCACTCGTGCGCTGCCGGGGCGGCTCGCTAGTAATAAATAAATAAATAAATGTTTCGGACACATTTTTACACAACGCTCTCTAGTCCCAAACTTAGCAACGCTTGTACTATGGGTACTAACTGATAAACATGATTTTGTTTTGTAAATAAATACATATTTGCGCAATAGGCAGGTTCACTACTCCCAACTACTGGAATTTGATACGAACTTTTATGTGATACGATGCCATAGACTTAGAAATATCTACGTACAAAGAAATAAATAAAATATCAAGCATGTGTATGGTTCTATGTGGATTTCATTTCACCAGTTGTAAGCTAAAAGGCAAACTCTTTGGAAACAAGTAGTTTAAATAGCAAAAGGTTAGTACTTTCTTGTACTAACCTTTTGCTATTTAAATTACTACATTATTATTGCGCGTACAGCACCGTACAAACCTAAACATAAATAATCAAAATCATGAAATATTATGCATTCAACTTTTCATACTGGTACTAACGGCTGACGCGTACACCTACGACTCAATATTATTACATAGCTGTGTGTACTGTCTTTCTCTCTTTCTGCGTTATATCTTTCTTCTCCCTCATGGAAACAAATTTGCCTAAAAGGGATGCATCTTTGAAATTTTCGCTCAATTCTGGTTGGATGATCCAAACGCCGTCTGCGATGTATTATTAATTAATAGCTTTTCGCTCGCGGCTTCGCTCGCGTTGAATCCCTTAAATAAATATCTTTCTTTAAAAAGAAATCCAATTAAAAAATAGCATATGTCCTTTGTCAGACTCTAGACTATTTGTGTACCAAATTTCATTTAAATCGGTTCAGTAGTTTTGTGTGAAAGCGAGTCAAATAGACAGAGTTACTTTCGCATTTATAATATTAGTATAGATTCGGTAGGGTTCAAACATTTTAGCACAACCGATTTTTAAAGACTGTAGGTTGGTCGGCCAAAATAAAATAGTGAGGATAGCGTAAACAACTTTATATATTAATTAGACTACTTTCTACTTATTAGGACAGAGCAACGTCCTATACAAAGGATAAGAGTGTTCTACCCTATCACTGAAACATTATGCGCTTATATACAAAAATATAATGAGTCATCAGAACTACATTACAAATCAATGCACTTATTAAATTACTAATACAGTAAATAAGATTGACCTATTAAATTATAAATTATTATTAAGAATGGTTTATTATATAATATTATACCAGATATGGTTCAATGTTTATTAAGTATAATTGTTATTGCTCGTATATTAAGCAGTGTTGCCAGTGGATTGTAACACGATACATACTTCAAAGACTTCCCTCGAAACATTAGTTCCAAGTATGTGTCTACTGTAGAATGTAACAGGCATGATGGGGTTGGCGTATTCATGAAAACCACAAATTAATACAGAGTAAAAAGAAATATCGTATTGATAGCTTCTGTACGGGTGCCTGCTGACGCAAGCGTGCGCCAGCAGCGGCGCGGGGGCGCAGGGCGGGGAGGGCGGCGGGGCGGCGGACCTCACGCGGGAGCTCTTGGCGCGGCTGCCGAACGTCTACGACGTAGCGGCCGTAGCGCGCGCCTACCCCGTACAGTACTACAACAGCATGAACACGGTGCTCAAGCAGGTGAGTTGACCGGTAAAGTTATTGTAACTTTTATTTTTTTAGGAAGTTTTTTTTAGAATTTCGCTACATTCATTCAAAGATTTAAATTTCTTGTAGTGCTTATCTCTACACTTAAGATTAAACATTAAAATTTGTAGAAAAAGTACGAGTATTTGTAAAAAAAATCAAATCAAATCAAAACTTATCACGAGTCCCACAGCGGCCACAATCTATACTTTTACTATAAATTTTAATTCACAAAGGTTTCAATAATGCAGATTACGATTTTAACGATTTCTCGACTTTACGGGAAATCTACACATTGTTAAACAAAATTAATGAAACGCGATAAAAATACGGAATAGAACAAACGATGAAGTAGATAGATACAGGTGGCTCAGGATCATACTTGGTAGCAGCCTGGAGGCTTAAGTTTTTTTTTATGCGAAAAGTTGCCAAATGAGCAGACGGTTCACCTGATGTTAAGTTAATACCGCCGCCCTTGGACATCGAGGATTCCAGATGCGTTGACAACCTTCTGGAGATCAGGTTCCGGCCACCTCACTCACCAGACGAAACGAGAAAGTATTATACTTCTACTTTACGCCGGTCTCTGTGAGGTCGTGAGATGATCCGAGGCTGCTGCGTGGCCCTACCACCGTCAAGTTCAGCAGTGGACTCAAACGGGCTGAAATGATGGTGATGCTGATAATTATCGAGACCCGAGTAGCCATAATGACAAATACCCGATGGGAGAAATACTCCTTTACATACCACAGCTTTGGCTTACTATAAAACTATCGAAGAAAGAATGTATGTTATGCTTATTTGTTTCCCTGTTACCACTCGTTTTTTTTTACTATTCGTTTCTCAACAGATAAAGAAACTTTTTCTTGGATCAATCTTAGCCCCTGGTAAAGTATTAACTTATCATTTGAGAGCTCATATGCTCGTCTATCGTGACCAACGTGGGTGGTGTTGGCAGGAGCTCATCCGCTACAACCGGCTGCTGGTCGTGGTGCGACGCACCCTCCACGGGGTGAACCTGGCGGCGCAGGGCCTGGCCATCATGAGCGCCGAGCTGGAGGAGTGCGCGGACGCCTTCCTCAAGGGGCTGGTGCCGGCCGCCTGGATGGCCAAGTCCTATCCCTCGATGAAGCCGCTCGGCTCCTACATGACGGATTTCCTTGCGAGGTTCCTCTCTCCCCTATTTTACCGTGGCAGAGGCTATGCTGTTGCACGGACGGGCAGCCCTCACGGGAAGGGCCACAGCGGTGTGGGTACGACGGTATACACCGTATAATGAAATGTCGTTTAAAATAGTAAACTCTTTATTTAAACGGTACACGTATATCTTACATTTGAATACTGTTGTTTACGGAACAGTCCTACAGACAATTTAATAATTTCTATATAAAAAACAAACAAATACTCCATTATCTCGCCGCTAACAGAAAAAATTCCACTATTGTCACATAATTGATGTAAACAACATTGATATAAGGAAAACATGTATATTTTTGTACTGGAAATTGTACTAACAGTTATGCAAATAATAGTGATAAAAATGCACGCAGTCACCCCGTATATATCTGATAACGTTTATATGTAAATAAGTGAAGATCGGATTGGTTTAATTTTTAACAAACTAAAAGAGTAAACAAAATCATTACATCATTTAACTCAAGTTCAAGAACCTCTTGCAATACAAAAATGTTTTTGATAAAAATCCCCAGTAACTAAGTCGAGGACACGTGTGCACATTTGAACAACGATATGGCAAAATAACAGCTCTCTATTCTAAACGCTCCCTTAATTTCTTCGTTCCGAATGGTCCTTTCACCCCTGCCGCTTCTTCTCCAAGTCCCTCAGCTTCGTGGTCAGTTCTTCGCCGAACGACTGCCTGTACCTGGAATCAAAATAAATAAAAAAATAGTTTATTGTTGAAAGCAATGCAACGCCAACAGTTGTAAAAGTGTTGTCAACCTTTATTGAAATATTTATATCGAGTGGTAAATACAGGACATAGACGTTTAATAGTAACCACGTAGTTTCGTGCCACTGGTAAACTTTGTAATCTTTACTGTAATAATGTACCTGTTGAAATATTTTATTGTAAACCAAATTGAAAAATATGATTTTTATCTCGATACTCTCATTTTTCTAGCACTTCTCACACTTGCTCACAGCAACGAAACATCTACTGATACCATCAATATTTTCAAACAGAATAATATTTTCGTTAATTCACGTTATACATAAAGTATCCAACAACATTTAAAAAACATTTTAACAATAAAATAATTTCACCTGTTGCTGACGCTGTCCAACAGCGCGTACAGCGTTTCGTACTTGGTGTCGGAGATGGTGCCGCTATTAGGGGGGGCTGCGACGCGGAAGCCATCCGCCGACATCTCCACTATTAGCACTTCCCCCTCGTACGTGGTTATTCTGAGGTAGATCCTCCTGTTGGTGCTCTTGTAGTCTTCGGCGACGGATGCTTCTCGCACGTGGCCCCTGACGTCTTTCAGCGCGGCCTCGGCCTCCAGGGGCCACGTCTCCTTGTCCAGCACCTGATCTGTCATCTCTCTGTGAAAGATTACAGTCTGTTTGGGTCAAATTGGCGGGAATTCTTTGGAAACGAATTAAAATTTACTGTATTTTTTATGTGGTAAGCGAGCTGGCGGTTCACCCGATGTTAAGTGGTAACCGCCGCCCTTGGGCATTTTCAACACCCGTAGCGGCCCCGGCTATCTCAACCATAACGCAGAAATATGACTTACACTTCACGCCGGTCTTCGGATCTGCCCATTCGTGCAACAGCACAAACTGTTCCGTGGCCCTACCACTTAAGTACGGTAGCAGAAATTTTTTTAAGTTACTATAAATGTGAAAAATTATGTTGTTCACTTTACTTGTTTTTTAAAATTTGGAATGTAGATTAACACGGCTCGCCTTGTTAATACCTCATGCCTTGTAAAACGTCCTTATTATACCGGGAAAAAGGGGGGAGCAGTGGATAAGAGCTGGTTCTAAATAACTAGGTTGACTCTAATGTATCGAGTTGTCACGCACTTTATATATAACTAGCGACCAGCCTCTGCTTCGCACGGGTGCAATGTATTATCCAGTAAAAAAAACCCGTCAAAAGTAGCGTACTTTTAAAGATCTAAGCATACATAGGGACAGTCAGACAACGGGACGACTTTGTTTTATACTATGTAGTGATCATAGCATCTGATGGAAATGTTGTTGTATGAAACGCACAGGTTTAGTAAAAACCATAATATAATTGAGCCGTGATAGCTCAGTGTCCGGGCGCTCGACTTTAATTCAATATACTCGAGTAACCTGAGTTCGATCCCCGGTGCCGGCACCAATGAAGTTTTTAACTTTAAGAGCTGACTTATCACGTGCTCCGCGGTGAAGGAAAACATCGTGAGGTAACCTGCACATTTTCGAAATAATAACAAAAAAAAAAACATTCGAAGATATGTGAAGTCCGCCAATCCGCAGTGGGGCCGCGTGGTGGACTATGCCCTGATACCCTCTGTATAGAGGAGGCCTTTGCCCAGCAGTGGGACGTATATAGGCTGTTACTTTATTTTTTACTTTTATAATATAATAGAACGGAAAGAGGGCTTTTTAACGAGCGCGCACTCTCCACTCGCAGGCTGAAGTTCCTCCAGGAATGGATTGACGAGGGGCCGCCGGCCGTCTTCTGGATATCTGGCTTCTACTTCACCCAGTCCTTCCTCACCGGGGTTCTGCAGAACTTCTCCAGGCACAATCGCATTCCGATTGACCACGTGCACTTCGAGTTCACGGTCACCGCGATGGAGGCGGAGTGCGAGGAGCGGCCCACCTTCGGGGTGTATTGCAAGGTGCGAACGGTATCCAACTATCCAGTGATCGCAAAGCCGGCTAGCGTATAACTATTATGTGTGGAAGGCGGTTGGGTAGCAAGTCCCAACGACCTCTACGACTAGAGACGACCTAGATCTATTGTAGTCTCCCTTTCGAAAACATTTCCCGTTAGTGTAAGGATAACATTATCCCGTTTTTACCTGACTGCGCCAGAAGGTGGGTTATGTTTTTTCGAGAGTATGTATGTGTGTATAAGTATAATATATTTAGGTATAATATATATCTATACTAGCTGACCCGGCAAACGTTGGTTTGCCATATAAATTATTTCTAGGGTAGAAAAAAATGTTTGAGGTGGACCACCCTTAACATTAAGGGGGATGAAAAATGGATGTTGTCCGATTCTCCACCTTGGCCGATATGCACACAAAATTTCACAAAAATCTGTCGAGCCGATTCGGAGAAGTTCAATTACAAACACCGTGACACGAGAATTTTATATTTTAGATATATCTAGATGAATCAGAGCTAGTTTGATAAAAATTCAAAGTTTGGCCAATGGTACTACCACAAAAAGGTTTGCCTCCATCCACTCCATGTGTCCACAAGTAAAAAGATTTGCCTAGCAGTTGGAGATGTTAACTTGAAAACTAAACAGTATAGCATGCATTAGCTAGTTTTCCTCATGTAGGTTTTGATGTCACATGCTAAAATAACTATGACAATATCACCACAAACTAGTGAATTGCTAACTAGTCTAAATGTGAATTGCTGGTAAAATATTAATTGACATTTGCTCTATGAAATTTTCTGAGGACGTTTTAGAAAGAGAATTGATAAATAATAATATCATATATAATTTATGAAATTGTTTTATTTAAAAAAAAATAAGGCAACTCATACACAGTGCCAAATTAAGCAAGGGATTAAGGGCCCGCAGCTGATTATTTAAAATATCAAGGGCTGTTTGCTGTCTGCTATGGGTTCTTAGTATAAAGTGGTAAAAATAATTTGAAACTCTTATTTATTTAATAAGTGTCACTTATATAATTAAGGCTCAGGCGAGGAGTGGGTTTAAATATGTGGGGCACCTATATGTGTTTGGCGTGGGGCCTGTAGCAATTGCTACTCTTGGTACATGGTTAATCCGGCACTAATCATATATTTAGTTTAAAACTTATTTATTTATTATATCCCCATTGAATTTTAACATCAACATTGAACTCCAACATTTATTACACATGCAGCAATTGCAAAAAATGGATAACAATGGTCATGAACACAGTGTCCACATTTGGGTGAGTAATGTTGTATAGACATGCATGCTGTTTTTGGCTTTGAAAATACTTTTGTTGCCTCATGAGGCAATACTTAGACAATTGCATTGTATCACAAATTGTCTCTGCTTGTCTATTACAATATCAGAAAAAATCATAAACTCTTTAAAATCTTAAACTAAGCACTAATTTACATTTATTTAATGTTTCTGGCAAAAATTGTCCACTTTATTTCTAGAAACCCTGTATTGGTATTTGCTTTTATCTTTATTTAGTTATTATATTGTAATTATTTAATTAGGTTCATCAACTAAAACCATGTAGAATATTGATATTTTTACTATATAAGTTTCATATACATATATGTATTTAATTTTTATGCTTAATAAAAATGTCTATATTTATAGACGAGTTTTTCTTAATAATGAACCAGATTTTCAATGTGTGAAGGTCTGAACAATATGGGGAAATCGTTTAAATATAAAATTCTTACATTCACAGGGCCTTTTCCTAGAGGGTGCCAGGTGGAACCGACAAATTGAACAATTGGACGAATCCTACCCAAAAATTCTGTTTGACACCATCCCCATAATTTGGTTCAAACCAGCACTAATCGAAGATTTTAACCCCCCACCATGTTACTTCTGCCCCATATACAAAACCAGCGAGAGGAAAGGCGTGTTGGCAACAACAGGTCACTCCAGTAACTTTGTCATGTACATCACACTGCAAACAGACGTCCCGGAGAAACATTGGATCAATAGGGGTGTTGCTAGTTTAACTCAGCTTGATGATTAAATACCCTCATGGTGCTGTAGCAAGCAATTAAATAATTATAACACCAAGTTACTTATTCCTTTATTTAAAAGAAATTTATTTTTGAAAAAATCAGTTGTGTGTTGTTAGAAATGTGGAAACAGTAATATACTATATATTGTGATTAATCAAATGTGGATTCACGTGTTATAATAAAGTTTGATGTTATAATATGATATTCCTGATAATTGAAAATTTTAATGAAATCCCAATCAAATAGATACCATAAATTAAATGTAAAGAATTATTAACTACACTTAATTGTCAATGAAGTATTATTTAAATTATGTAATTCTTTCCCCTAGTCATTAACATTATTATATAATTATTTTTATAATACATTGCCTTTCTATTGAATAAAGGTATTTTAAAACACTGGTGATATGATTTATTTAGTATATTTGATTTGTTTTAATATAATATATTCCTGTATTTTTAATGTTTTGCTACAATATCATAATATATTTTGTACACAGTTATTTAAATGAATGAAGTAATTTTTAGCATAACAATTACAAACAAAGTTTGCAAATGCCTTATTTAACATATAGTTTCTCAAGTTTAATAAACTTGATATGCGCAGCAGAATCAAGTCATCCATAGTTTTTGTAAAAGATTCATAAACAATAAATCATAAAAAAACATAGCACTAACTTAAATGAATTAGTCCAGCTTTTAATAATTCTAATCTATTTTTGAAATAATCATATTAAGTTTAAAGAATGCAAGAAGTGGTCGTTTTCGAAAAATTTGAATTTTTATATACCGCAAGTAGGTCTTAACGTGTAATGTAACCAATAAAAGTCACCCGACTAATTTTATGCCATAACCATTACGTACCTTACTTGAAAATTAACGTGTGAAAATTATCTAGGGAGAACCGATACCTATGATATTCTTTTGCAAAAAGATTTGAAAAGCTAAATAAATATAATACTATTATGTTTTTACCTGCACGATATTGTAGCTAGGTACTTATTGACATTATCTATTTCACTAATCACACATTAGCACGTAATTCATTATTTAATTAACTCAAAGCGGTTCCTATTTTTAAAACTAAAGTTAAAAGAATACCGAAGCTTCTCACAAACAATAATAACCTGTCAAAGAAACAAAATGTCAAAAGTGGTCAAAATGTTATCGTGGAAATTACTATAAAAAAGTAAATTAGTCAACGACACATTTGACATACGTCTCATAAAATAATTTGAATTATAAAAATAAAAATAGTTAATTAATATAAAAAAAACCCGTTATATGCAAATTGACTTGGTACTTATAAAAAAATAATGTTACTCAATAATGATTCTCTTTGTACAATGTCTGCCATTAAAGATTGACCGATATTTGTGTTTTGTTTCTGTTTGCGTTATTATCTGGGTTTCGGTAAACTCCAAAAAAATGCTTGTTTCGAAATGAATTTCGTTTTCAGTGTATAATGACCCATACGTAAGATACGTACCACCTGTATAAATACAATTATATTACTATAATATATACTATAATATAATACTCTATTCTGAAAATATTTCTTCTCACATTGTCATTAAAACATATTATTTATCATCTTATTATTATGTTATCATTTATGTCCATTAATGAATGCTGTGATACTATTTTAGGTGTATGAGTTTAATCTTTCGTATAATTGAATGTATTACATGGTAATAAGGCGATTGTCCATATTTTTTATGGAAGAAAGGGGACAAACGGGCACGAGGCTCACCTGATGGAAAGTGAATCACCGCCGCCTATGAACATCTGCAACACTACAGGGCTTACAAATGCGTTGCCGGCATTTTAGAAAAGAGTATGCTCTCTTCTTGGAGGTTCCCAGGTCGACACGGTTCGGAAAAACTGCCGGTGGCAGCTGGTTCCACAAAGTGATTGTGTTAGGCTGGAAGTGTCCGCGCTAAAATCGCGCTGTTGTGGAACGCTGGACATCGAAGTGGTGTGGATAAAATTTTTGGTATTGGCGCGATGTCGGACTCGGAACACTCCCCGTAATATATGCAGTACAAAATTCAGAGAGATCCAACATCTCTATTCAGAGCCAAAGAAGCCGATCGGAAAGATCTTGATCGTCGAATACGCGAGCCGCCCTGCGTTTAATGCGGTCAAACGGAAGAAGCAGGTAATGGTGGGCTCCCGCCCAGAAATGAGAGCAGTGCTCCACGTGCGAACGAATTTGCGCCTTATAAAGGCTTAGGCATTGAGCCGACGTGAAGCACTATCTCACCGTGCTGAGCACACCAAGCTTCTTTGAAGTCAATTTGCCATTACCTTCCAATTGACCGTGGAAATGAACATTGCTCAAAATTTCAACGCCAAGTATTGCCAATATAATGCTACGATTCTAATTTTCAATAATGAACATGGTAAACTTTCTAAATATTTTTAAGTGTTCATTAGAGCTGGCCAGTGAGGATAGTAATACTATCCTCTAACCGGCAAGTAGATTTTGAATATGCTCCATTTTTTATTTCTCTCCATTGCCTTGACCTGAATATTCATCCCCGAATATATCATATATTAGGCAAAAGAAAAGAAGTGCTAAAACACTTACGTTGTGCCCAAATACATTATTTCTATACATCCAAAGTTATTACAAATTTACGGTTCCATACTAACTTCTGTTTATTTCAATGTTATTCTTATTTAATTTCAGACTTAATATCTAATATATAATGTTAGATATTAATAATTCAAAATTCTATACCTATTATCTAATATATAATACCTAATATATAAGGAAATATTGTACAGCATTTCTGTCTATGAGCTGTTTCAAACTATATACGTAAAATGTGTTAATCTACATATTATTGCTAAACCTTAAATCTACTATCATAAACAAAATAGCTGAAAGTCATTCATAAAAATTAACATGATGGGATAATTGTTTACATATTCAAGCATGATTCGTTAAACGCTGGTAATTTTTTTTCTTTTTTTGTTAATATGGTAATAGTTAATTTTTAATGGTGTAAATTCTTTAAGTAACAAAAATTGAGCGAGTTTGTTTTATTAATTATTTAATAACATGAGAAGAAAATTTACTTAAAGTGCATAAATCAATTAATAAAACTAATTTGGATTGGACAATACTGAGAATTTTCATGCATAAAATGTAACACAGATAATTTGTTGCTTTTTGTTGTGTCTTACAGATGGCGCACCGGGCTTGTAAACTGCGTATGGCGAACTGACGTTTTTGGTTATTTTTGTTCTCGCCTCGTGTTTACTTTAGTGTCTAATTTCGGTCCAATTGCGAAAATTTTGTTGTGCAACACCCCAAAGGTTAATATTTCTATTGGAGATCGCGTTTTGACACTGAATGGTATCGATCTGCGCTTCCGGACTAGATATATGTATACAGTTTTATCACGTGGTGGTGTGATTTATATAATTCTTGTTTACCGCACTAGTCGAAACTTTGCGCATGTGCGTCCCGTCAGTAACCTCAAAGTCTAGAACGGGGACGTATTCGGCAGTTTCCGGACATCCGGGTGGTTTGTTGGAGCTGTGATGTGCCATCGCGAGGGTGCGCGGCCCGCGGGACAGCGTTGGTGAAACACGCGCCGGAGATGGCTCAAACTCAGTTCACGCGGAGCTCCGAGAGCGACGCATGGGCGCTGCTCGCTCTCAAGTCGGCGCCCGCCTCGCCATCCAAGGTGCAGTGGGCGCAAGAGCCGGCGCCCACAGCTATCGCCAGACTAGATGGACGCGATTTCGAGTACCTGATACGCCAGAAACGCGTCATAATAGGCCGCAACTCGAGCCGCGGCCAGGTGGATGTAAACATGGGACATTCGAGTTTCATTTCACGTCGCCACCTTGAACTATTTTATGATCATCCCGAGTTTTACCTCACGTGCAACAGCAAGAATGGCGTGCTCGTCGACGGTGTGTTCCAGAGGAGGGGCGCCGCGGCTATGCTGCTGCCAAAAAGGTATGTCAACTGTTTTCTTATATAATTTTTCATTATATTGTTTGTAAACAAAGTTTTTCTTATCTACCCACTTGTTGATTTTTTTTCCACCGATTTTGTATTGTTATTTTGGAATTTATACATGTGGTTTTATGTTTATTTATTTTTAGCAGTATGCTAAGCAAATTTGATCAACTTACAAGTTAAATGAAATGAAAGCATATTGGGGTATATTATTTGTATTAGAGAGAGATATACTGTTTTGATTTTAAACAATACCAAGCTAGCTTAATGATTGCTAATTCAAAGTGGTATATTTAATGAGAAAATATTGAAAATATTTGTGCGAGATGACAGAATGATTGCATGTATAAATTTGATTGGTTGGTGCTGTTTGAAATAACTTCAAAACTATGTGGGAGTCAATACCTAAAGACATAATTATCTCACTCACACTAGGATAATTTTATTGTATTAGTCATCATGTTTATTGATGGCATCATGCCTTGAAGCACTGCTCAATTATTTTGGGTGCCATTTTGATTAAAAATAGGGGCATATGCATTTGTATTTTCTTCTTATATTTATTTTCATATTTACTTCTAAAGATTGCAAATTTCTTAATATTAACTAAGCTTTCTTAGAGCAGAGAACCATACTTGTTTCAAGAATTTTTGTTAAAATTTTGTTTTAAATAAATTATTTGTAACTTCTTACTCAATTGCCAACCTTTACAATTTGTAAACTGATATCTATTTCACTTGTATCAATTTTTATTGTTCTTATTCCTAGTACAACTACCTTTTGTTTTATTTACTTATTTTGATCTTAGCTTCATACTTTGTCCAAATAGAAAGTTTGGATTATTATAGCTGGTTACTGAAAAAAATGGGAATGATTATTTAGCAAATTGTCTCTTCAGTATTCAGTAAATGATTAAGTAAGGAACAATACCTAAAGACTTTTAATACACATCTTTTTCAAGGCACTTGCAAAAATTTGCTTATATTCCCGTAGCTGTATATCAATGTTTCTTTATCATTAGGATTGCTAAATTTTGTTGCCGTCTTATTTTGGAAGTGTTTCACATTTAGTTTATTTACAAGGTCCTTGGAAGTAGTTGTGACTGGCCACTAAGTATGTATTTCACGGAATTCTTGCATGCGTTTGAAAATATTGTGCTGATATTTTTTTGATCTGTGCATTACATAAATTTAATAAACAATATCATTACATTTTCAATGTGTTTTGAAGAACCATTATATTTACTTTATATTTGTCCAAATAAACACAGTCATCAATGAACTTATAAAGTAAACAAATAATTACATACTCATTAAAAGCGGTGCGTATTTCCACAGAGTTACTCATTGCACAGATAAAATATGATAGCGCAAAGTGATTGATATATACACTGTACGGTTTGCTAATCTGTGAACGGTAAATAAGCGCCAAAACACCGCATTGACGACGGATGGCGTGTGTTGGGTGATGCAATACGTAGAAATATCGATAAAATACTCGCTTGAACCGATTCGTTTCGCGGAAGATACTTCGATATGTATGTACTTAAATATTTATAAGATCTTAATTATTTCGTTTAAGATCAGTTAATTAATTCGTTTTTTTATCGTTCCTATCTATTTATATAAAATTTTAACAGTATATTTAAATAACTTCGTTGTATAATATTGTTCGCAGAATAGGTAAAAAAAAATGATAATTAAAATATACGAGCCCATACGAGTTTTGTTCCGTCACCTGACGTTAAGTTGTACCCGCCGCCATGGACATCTGCAACACCCATTAGCATGCAGATGCGTTGTCACCTTTTGAAACAGTGGATCCCTGTTAACTCTCTCACACTCACCAGACGAAACGCAAAAATAAAAACACTGTCACCTGTGAGGCTGTGATACTTCCCCACGAGCCTACCAATTCGTGCAATAGCAAACTGCTGGGTCGCCCTACCATAGACCTGGTTGTAGTGTCAATTGATACGACCCCAGTTTAGTACTAATTGTTTATGTATGAGTATCTTTTGTCATTTAAATGAACGTAAAATCGGATAGTGGATTATAAATTTATTCAATCAAAAATACGACATTATTAATGTCCTTTGAATATTTTTCTGATAATTCGAACAATATATACCTGCTGCTTTTGCGATTGTGTAGGAAGTGTGACAGTTTTATTTTAATTTTTTTTATCGTAACATAGGCATTTGATTTTAATCGGCATTGGTAAAATTCATGAATGTTAAAATGTGTAAAATATAGTCGGTTTAATGTATAAAATATGACGGGTTCATTGAACTTTTGGCCTATGCGCGTATAAGAGATTATCCATAATGCCATAACCATTATTTATTTCTATGACTTTCCATAACCATAATATCAAAAGGTCAATTACGTATAGATGATCAGTGCACATCGATGTGTTTTAATCTCGGCATTTTGATTCCAAGCTTAAATTATTATCCGTTTATTAAACTTCCTTAGTGTAGACATCGTTAAAAGGATGAATAACAACAATTATGTCTGTGTATCATCTGTTAGATATTAAACACTGTATTTATTTATGTTTATATCTCTAACGTATAGAATTATAGATGTCTTATCGGGTATTGGGTCATTGATCCCATCTATTTATTAATTAATTTGTTGATCTAGGCCAATGTGTGTGAATGGGGATTTAGAGTATTTTTTAAATCCACTATGTTATTAAATGAACTTTATATGTTGTTAATGGAGTATTGTTCGAATTTATATATACTGGTGTTGTTATTACGCTTGAGTTTACGCGGACTGCGGTGCCGTGGTGTTTTTCCTCACAAAAACAATGTATATGCGTACCAATTTAGGTACAGGGTCAATTGTGTTTACGTTTGTCTGTAAGTTTGGAACGCCGGTGTTTTTTCTATTTTCGTGTTCGTCCTCGTATTGCTATCATTGCGTTCTAGAAATAAGACGTAACATTGTGTTTCTCGGATACTTTTATGCGTTTGTAAATAAAATACTTACTTCGTCTGTATAATACATAACCTAGTATAATATGTTTATAATGTCGAATCGATAATAGTATATTTTTGCGATTGCCACAACAACTCGGTGTTTTTCACTTAAATCTATTTGTGACGCATATCATTGACTTGATTGTTGTGAAGGTCGACCGTCGGCGCAATCTTTGCCTTTGAAAAAGTCTAAATGATCACTGAATGCGCAATAGTTGACATCTTACCCAGATAAAACCTAAATTAGCTGTTCCCTCCGTGTCCATCGTTTTGGAGTAACCTCTCGAAGATGGGCAAGCCAGACGCAACCAGCACCGTTGCAAAATGTCCGTACGCTGTGGTAGTCACCATAAGGCGTACCACATGCTCGTTTGCTGCCAGCCCCTTCAGAAAGTTTCATCTATATTTTAGATTGACTTCTGTATCGCTGGAAGCGTTGCGCTTGTTCGACTTCCGAGCTCGTCTGCAGTCCGCCTACATAATGGGATCGCTTTTATTTCGCCATGTGTGCGTCGCTATATGCGCGGTGCGTTTTGCACGGTCGCCATGTTTGGAGTGGTCGTATTTGTGTCGCATAAGATGTAGGGCGCCGGCTGTCGTGGCTCGGGCGGCCTTGGGCGGTATCTGATAGGCGATTGAACAGCGCCGCGCCCCGGCTGTGTCTGTTTCCATGCGAATCGCGCGTTATTAGCGGCCACGTGGTCACGGCTCGGTCGCTTCTGTTGTTAACCGCCGTGCTCTCGCCACGTTACAATCCAACACATTAGACATATCTCTATCCAGTTTCGCTATTGTACGAATGTGTAGGCTCGTCCGGGTACGGACCACGGCCTCACAGAAGACCGGCGGGAAGTAGAAGTGTATACTTTAGCGTTTCGTCTGGTGAGTGAAGTAGACGGGTTCCACTTTTATAATGATTGGTCAAGAACCTGCAACCGCGTAATCTCGTAACATCAGGTGAACCAAGCTCGCTTGCCAATTTACCACATATTAAAAATTCTGCCTGCTGGATAACGCTGTCTATTATTTAATCCCAAACGGGGACAGTAGACTGGTTGCCGTGCATTGGATCCTAATATTGTGTTCATTGTCGGAACCTTATAAATTGTCATGCGTATATTTTGTAGTAGTCATTGTTGGAAAAATGTTACCAGAACAGTGATGCAGTCTTGAATCGTCTGCAAATTTCTCTCGCGAACATTACATTATCGCTAAATACTCGGGCTCCGAGTCGTATGACTCTTTGGATTGAAAACAAATAACCTTCTAGGCGTGTATCGCGTCGCTTTTGACCGTATTGCCGATAAAAGTGCACAAACAACTCCACATCCTGTTATAGCTGTGTTTGTTGTTAGGTGCGGCTATTTCAAGTTGCATATCATTTCGTCCCCCAAGCGCTTCGCCTTGTATGTGACAAATAAGTTTTTAGTAGTTGTTTGTTCACATCTAAGTAAAGTATGGTGGGTACACGCAGTGTTCAGCTGTTGCACAGATAGGCGCATGGCCTGCGTAAAATAGAACATACTTCTTTTGAACGTCGTATCATGGATTGGCATAAACCCAGTCCAGCCCCGCCCCCTCTCACCTAGGGCGGTGATAATCGAAGTTTCATCGTCTCGCTAACAGAAGCAATTACTACATAGTTTAAAACAAAGTAGTCCCGCTGTCTGTCTGTCCCTATGTATGCTCAGATCTTTAAACTACGCAATGGTCTTAATGGGTAATCTTAATATATATTATAATTTAATTATATAAAACATTGCCGCCCGTGCGAATGAAACGGGCCTTTTTTTCATACTTTCGAATAGCAATAAAAATAATGGTGTGAAAGCGGCATCGAATCCCTTGCTCGCGGGTTTTGCTTCCGCGTTCCGCGGGTCCTTCGGCCGGTGGTCGCATTCCGATGTTCACAGCGAAAGTACTCGCTGAGTCACCAGCCAGCCTCTCCGTGTGCACTCTGCACTGGCAACGGCACAATCCCGCCAAACATACTGCGCGTCACTCCCGAAACAGGGGTGGCGCATTAGCAGGTTTCGCAACTCGCTACCCATTAGAACCTGTTCCGCACATTCAAATTGATATGTACGAACTAACACGTACTAAAACGATGAATTACGCATTGTTTCTTATTAATACTATCTTTGTATTAGTGTAACCGCTTGTATCATTATCATAGATATATCTACTGACGTAATTATATTTATTGACCAATCATTTCATGACCCATGTTGATATTAATGTTAATAAGTACTTTTAGAGAAGAAGAGAAAGCTCTAATTTGGTGTACCTACACAGTAGTTTCATTTAATTCCTTATCTCATGAAGGTAATGGGAGGAATGCGAATTTATCATGTTGCTGCTATAACGAACGTGCAAATTATTTGGTTTTTGCAATAATTTCAAACGCATTGACGTTCTTGACTGTTATTTGAATCACTTGCACCTGTGAATGGACCACGAACTCTTTGTTCACAACTTCATCGCAATAGCCACAAGCACACTGAGGAATGGAATTCGACAATTTGAATTTAGAATTTGGAATTGGAATTTTGAGAAATTGAATTTCGCGGGAACGATAGCTAACCATAGGTTGAATATTTTAAAGTAAGTTTCACCCGTTTTCTACTTTTGAATAAAAAATTGCCGCTGGTCGAAAGTTAGGTTTTTTTACGGCTCAGTATTTGTTTGACGTACGAATGACACTTTGTTTTAAATAAATCTGCTTCTTATTGCAATGCCACCCTCAGTATAGAGGAGGGCTCTGCCTAGCAGTGGAACGTATAATGTATAATAATAAATAAAATAAATAATTTTTTTTTTATTCTATATTTGCAAGGATATGGTTTACAATAAGATGTTCATATAGTTATAGCGATAATCTATCTAATGTTACGATCTAGTATCTAATGTTACAATTAACTAATACAATTATAAAGACATAAGCCTGTTTCAGACATACTAATACAATACCAATGCCAAATATATGACGACTACAATACCAAATATAAGACGATTAAAAAATTGATCATTCGTACATGTTCGATTCTACTCACTGATCACTAGTTAAACTTCTTATACGGGACCACCTCAATCGATTGGTAGGGACGGCATTGGCTACCCCGTCAAAAAGCCACCATGCTAACACGCTTTGTGATCTAACGACCGTTTGAAATTTACCAAGAAAACTAAAAAAAACATACGTTGAAGAAATAGTATTGGGTTTCCCATATTATACTAGCCATGATAATTAAAAAGAATATTTTCACAAGATATATCAGGATGTTCGTTCAGTAGGCACAATATGCCGTTTCATTCAACTAACTCGAGTTTTTTTTTCTTTAAAAGATTTCAGTTTAGTAAAACATTATCTTGTCTTGTAATGACGATTTACAAACATACATTTTACGGGGACAAATTTTAGTTGTGCCGTGTGAGAATCCGACCCACGTGCCCCCGGCGCTGAAGCCAATACCATTGCGAGTGCGCAACGGAATTGCTAAAAATAATAACACGGTAATAATTAAATGCGCCAGTCGGTTAAATTAAAAAATATTACCGCCTTCCGTATCCGCTCTTAAACTGGGCCGGACGAGAGGCGCTCTCAAGGGCGCTCCTCCTAAGAGGGATTAGGTACAGTCTGCCGCGTAGATGGATGTCCGTGTGGACATGGCCCAGAAACGACACGGCAAAATTGGGTTATTATTATATATTCTTTATTGAACACCAAAAAAACATGAAAGGAAATGTTACAGAACTATAAACTTAAGAGGTATAAACAATAAGGCGGTCTTATCGCTAAGGAGCGATCTCTTCCAGACAACCTTGTGATTAAAAATATTAATTTGGACAATGGTAGGTGGTGTAAATGATAAACTTACATACTAATATTTAAATAAACTAAACGAATATGTTGTATTTTTTGTATAATAATAATATACTAATATATACGAAATAAGATCCAATAGACATACATAAATCTAAACATATACTGTACAATAACTTACAAAAATATATACAGGAAGAAAAGAATAAAAAATAAATATACAAATGTCGGCGGTGATAATCAGCTTGAACACAGTGACAGATAATAATTTTTAACGTCAGTTTTAAACTTGCGTAACGTTTTTGAGCGCTGGATGTGTGGAGGAAGCGCGTTCCATAGGCAAATGGCTTTGACCGTAAAAGAGTTCTTAAAATAATTGGTCCGGAAAGTATGCGGGGTGATAATGAGTTCACTGGCTGATCGCAGAACTCTTTCTGGTCTGTCATGACCAAGAAATTTAAACTGTTCCTTCAAATAACTCGGAGTCATAGGATTGAACAAAACACAGTACAGAAGAGAAACAATATGCAGATTCCGGCGAAGGCGGATGGGTAACCACTTGAGCTTTGGATATTCCACACGATATTCGGAGACATGGTCATACTTGCGTAGACCGAAAATAAATCTGATAGCTAAGTTTTGAATTCGCTCAAGCTTGTTAAGTTGGTCCTCGGTTAAATCAAGATAGCTTGCGTCCGCATAATCGAGAAGGGAAAGAAGTAAGGATTGTGCTAACATAATCTTAGTAGGAATGGGGAGAAAAGAACGTAAGCGCCGCAGAGAACCCATGGCTGCAAAATTTTCCTGCTAACTTCCTTTAACTGGTGAGACCACGAGAAAGTAGAGTCGAAGTGAACACCAAGGTTTTTAACAGTTTTGTTGTATGGCACCACAACACCATTTAATGTTATCGAGGGAAGGTTATCCCAATCTACCTTTGAAATCATGCCAACTCCGCCAACAATGATGGGTTACAGTAATCGTAAGGTTTTTTTTAATTTTCTGTTTTATTTTTCTAACACGCGTGGCCACCGTTACATTCAACGGGATCTTCAAGACAGGAGGACTATATATTACCGACTTAAAAAAATGAGGATGTTTTCAATACGGTTGTATAGTCTGATAAGCACAATGGTATATCACGAGGATTGAGGTGCAGAGTCGCTCTTTGGGACATCTGTCTTGACTATATTGTTTTTTATCCCACAGCTCTGTCATTTATGAACCGATTTGAAAAATCTTTTTGCATTCGGTTCAGTTAATCTTACCTTACTGGACTTTGGACTCCAAACATTCAACAGGGAACTCCTCTAGTCGAATAGAAAATGTATTGTGATATATTTGTGGTCGGTTTTATTTTTTTCTTGAAAATGTATTTGTCTACATCAGAATGAGTTGCTCAAAGTCCTATATGCACTGTATTAAAGTCCCCACTGGAAAGTGTTTGCTATACGACGGCTGTAATGAACGATGGCAGATCTTCTTTAAAATATTACGACTATACAATGTTCAATGCTTACGTGCAGTATTGATAAGAATCGCGACAGTCATGCGATAGTCGATAGAAGAGTTGTAGTCGCGCGACGCTAAAGTTATTTATATGCTTCGATCGATAATGCGCCAAGCCTAGTGTCTGAGGTATTGTTGAGGAGCGAACGAAAATGTTTACAGTCGTCTGGAGATTAAAAAAGCTAAGAGATATGTAAGCCACATCAGCCCTAAGCAGTTGTTTTTCTCGAACTTTCGTTCGGAGAATTGTTTTTGTTCCGGACGAATCGTCCGTCAGGGCTGTGACGTGCGGG